CACTACCACTACTACTTCTACTACTACTACTACTACTACTACTATACTACTACTATACTACTACTACACTACTACTACTACTACTACTACTACTACTACTACTACTACTACTACTACTACTATATACTACTACTACAAGAAGGAGCACAACAACTACTACAACCGCAGCCGCCACCGCAACCGCAATCGCAACCCCGTTAATAGCACTTGCTCCATAGAGCCTGGCCTTGCTTGCCGGCGATAATGCAGTGTCCCTGGCTGACAAGTTCGCCGCACTGCGACAGAGACCCTGATTTGCAAGCCTTGTCCGACTCAACGGCTCTCAATGCCGAACGTCTGCGCCTGGTTGCATGACATGTCCAACAGCTTCCAGCGGAATTGAGTGTGCCCGGGCTCATGGCGATCGCTTCACGCTTGACGCACTGCCGTCTCTAAGTCTATATGCAATGCTGCGGTCCGATTGCACCCGTCCGTGTCAAGTGTTAGGCAACCATGTTAGCGGCAACACAAGCACTCCAAAGGCAGGCAGGTGCAAGAGACGAGAAGGAGGCACTCTATTTTGCGAACAGATGCTAGAGCTTCACGTCCTCGGTCAATACATGCCGTGTGCGGGCTGCGGTCAAAGGCAAACGCAGCACAAGGACACGGTTGCACTAAATCCAGCAAAGGCTCGATAAACATCGCCTTCGATGACCGAGGATGGACTATAGTTCTGCCCGGGTCCTGACACCAGCAGACACCAGCAGCACCACACAGGCACCACATCAAACAACGAGCTCGAATCAGGTTGGCATCCTCGCCAAGATCCAGCTGCCTCCTCAGAGGCCTCCAAAGGGGAAGAACGCACAGAGCAACCCCTGGCAAGGATGCCCCGTAAAGCCCCCAAACCCCGCAGGGCCTTGCAGCATCGTGGCTGAGGAGCTGTGCGTACTCCAAGGCCGGGCCTTGGAAAAAAAGGGCGCCCAAAAGCGCTCTTCGCGTGTGCAGCGCTGCGACCGCTGCGAGGGGCGGACCCAGGAGCAGGCCGGCGACCGCCCCGCAGGCGAGCCGCAGGGAGCCACCTGCCCAGAGGCCTCGCCAGCCTCGCAGGCTGCTTGGGGCCCATCTCCGCCTCAAATCCGCAATCTTTCTGCGGCCTGTCGCCTGATACGTCTCTCGGAGAGTTGCAGCGAAACGAGCAACCTGCACAGGTGCACTTTGGCACAAATCACCGTGCGTGCATCCTTGGCCTTAACCCTCCTGAAGCCATCATCCCGAGAGGTCATCATCCGGTGGATCTTCGAGGAGGGCGACGTCCACAGGCAAGACAATGCAACACAGCTGACACAAGTCCTGCATCTTCGTCTTCACCATATCCAGAGGCTGCGTGACAATGGCAGCGCCCATCGCGCAAACCTGACCCATTCGACAGCTCAACTTCCGTGCGCTTAAGTACAGCGACCGCGGGCTCTCCGACATGCGTTCTCATGCCCAATGATACACCGACTACGTTGTGAGGCTGTGGAGATGTTCGGCCCATCCACCGGGTGCTGTGCACCATCCTTGGAACCCCACAGAGCTGACGAAGGCAGACTGCACGGCTCGCTGCCGCATGGCTGCTGCATCAAACTCCTGCAGTCCCGCACTTGCCAGGCATTTCCGCGTTGTGGTCTTTTTGTCTCGGAGACCGCGGCTCCCAGACGTGTGCTGCTGATTCTGCATGTGAAACGGACATCGAAAAGCCGCTACCACAACACAGAACCTGAAAAGCGATCAGCGCCCCTCTCGTAGCCCGCAGTTGCGAGCGCAGCTTCTCCGCAGGATGGCACGAGTGTTAGAGAGAGGCCTTGAAGCGCGGAGTCTTCGAAGTCCTTCTTGGCTCTTGGCCGCAGAGGCGCTGTGCGGAGTGGCAGAGCTTCAACTTCGGTTGATCGCCGTGATCGCTGTCGGAACCAGATTCACAGCCTGCCGCACTCGCTTTGCACAATGTGCAGTTTGCATTCACGTGCTGTCAACCTAGTGATTGGAGTACTAGGCAGAAAATCCGTGTTTGGTGAAGTCGAAAATCCCGCCCGCCTCCGAGCGGCCGTCCAGCCTTCCCTCGAACATAACCGTGAGGCGTGTGTCGCTATACTGGGACAATACGGTCCCGACAGCGCCCGGTGGAACCAAGACGACACCCTGGCGAAGCTTTGAAATCCCACGAACAAGCTTGAGCTGAGCTGTTCGGCACCGCAAGAAAGTTGAAATCAAGGCTGAATTTGACTCCATGAATGCGGGAGTCCTCCAACAAGATGTTTTCCACAGCTGTCACACGCTGGGCCACTCTGAATCCACCTCTGGCAGGGCAGGTCCGAAATTGTTTCTTGGTTTTTGTTCATGTGCAACAGAGCGGCCTATCAGCTCCATGTTTGGCAGAATCTCGAAGGCTTGCACGTCCAGTCTGTTCTGACCATCGGTAACCGTGTCGAAACATACTGTGATCCTGTCTGGCGAGCTGGATGGACCCACGACGGTACCCAACGTTGCAAATGGAACCCTCACGGAAGAGGCAACAATCAGATCTTGGGAGGCAAGAACGCGTTGCCCGATACTCACGCCGAACGTGCTAGGCAGTTGCGGCAAAATCTCGTCCGGACTTACGTTGAAGACGCCACTAATGCCCCACAGAAAGAGGTCGAACTTCACCTTGACCCGGCCCTCCTCGTGTCTCCCGAGAACAACACCGCTTGTTCCAAAGGCCACAGCGAGGTTCTCTCCAACGAAAAGGTCTCGGGATGCTGCCACTTCTTGCCAAAGACCAAAGCCGCCCGCAATGCGTTCTTCAAGCTCTTGGTCCCTGATATCCCTGCGGCGCTCAGCCAGTTCGCTGGCATGTTCAGCCTCCAGCAAGCTACGAAGAAGCTTAGACACACTTGGAAGTCTGTAGTCGATTTGCTTTCCGCAGCCACTTGGACATCTGGCACGAGGGGCTCCATCATCCAGCTTAACAACTGTCCATTGCTGCAGGCACGTCTTGCAGAAGGACTCTCCGCAGCAGGGGAGCGTCACTGGATCCAACAGAACCTCCTGGCACAGCTCGCAGATCTCCGCGAGAGGAGCCATGGAGGCAGATGCCAAGGCCGGGCCTACACCCAAGCGTGGGGCTCGGGCCCTTTGGCTTAGAGCAGTGCACGCAGGTCCTACTTAGGATTCGATCGCCGGAATAGGAGCTATAGGACCCTTCGATCCTCCAGGGAGCTGTCGTTCAGCATTACCTGGTTGAGGTACATGTAGCTGGACCTCTCTCGAGTCCATAGCAACGGTAGCTGCAAGAAATGCTCTGAGCACACCGCCAGAAGGTTCCCGCGGCAAGGACGTCCCGCAAGAGTGTTGGAATGAGGCCTACGAGTACCGGCAAAGCAAAGCTGCAGTCTCACGTGCTCAACTTGACAGAACCTGTAGAGTGCGCGGAAGATGAACTAGTGTTTGAGGCACGATGCACCTCGCCAGAGTGACCGAGGGCCGTCCGTGGTGATCACCTGATGCAGCACCCAGGGCTGTGCTGAGCTGAACAAATTCAGCAGTTTCGGGCCTCCCATGGGCCGCGTAACAAATGCGAAGACTTCGTCTCTGGCAGCAACAATGCCGCCTGCATCGAACTTGAAGGGCACTGCCACACTTCTCGTGTCAGCTCGGAATGCCTGCCAAGACGTTCGGAAAAAGTCGAATGGCTGAACGACTGCGACTTGGACCTTAGACAGACACGAACGAACTTCGCATGGCAAGAACGATGTTCTTAGCGGGCAGTACTTTCTTCTTCTCCTTGTCCGAATGCAGCCCATGTTGTGCTCCAGAAATCTAGGATAGCGAAAGGCTAGTGAGATGGCAGTGCCATCTATCAGTCTGTCAGAAACCTGTGAGGGATGGTGTGACCTCCGAAAATGACTGCAAAAAAGAGCATGCGCCTCCACGCAAGCGGTGTGTTGGCTTGGTCGGGCTGGCACCCTTCCATCGTTCATCCTTGCAACCTGCTTTCTGACAGCCTCGTCACAACACCCGGCGGCGGCTCGTCAGTGGCGGACAGCTGCCATGAGCGAAAAGGGAAGCAAAACGAGTCAGGTCCAAGAAGATGGACTTGCTTGTGCAAGGTTGGGATTGGCCTTTTGACTCCTTCAGAGAGCGGCCTACCGTCCTGACACCCACCCTAGAAGGTACGAAAGCTGCTTTCCAGCAGCTCACTCACGCACCTGGGAGCCCGACAGCCTTGGCCACTAGTCCCGCTTCCAGGACCTGTCCAAACTGCGAACTTGTCGCACGCCGAGCAGAAGACTGAATACACCATGCAATACTTCCACTGGGCCTCCTTTGAACCTCGCTGCACCTGCCAAGCCCAAAGTTGCACGAAGCTTCCCAGAGCTTAAGTCACTCACATACAGAAGCACCCCATGGAGCAAGCCCTAACATCGCCTAACATGTCGCCTGCAGTGCTGCTTTTTGCTGTGGAAGTGAGAATATAAAAGCCTGCATCAACGCAACTTAGCAGACCCCCCCCCTTGACACGTTCGTCGCCGTTTGGCTGCAGCAAGACGCAACTGGCCCTCAATTGGTGCTGCCCACAGTGCGATTGCTCGCCTCGTAACCCAACAGAAACGCTGCAGGTCCGGCTGCAGAGCAAATGAGCGCCTAGGCACATCACCACGAGAATGCCTCCCGGCTGATGCTCAGCAAACACTCGGCTTTGCACCGGAACAAGTCCGCGGAAAAAGCCGCCTCCAGGCATTTCAAGACAGAGTGGGAAGCGGTCTCCCAGAACTCAGAGCTTTCGCCGAGCGACTCGGAGGTGATGCAGCTGCACGGAAAGCCTGCACCGGACAACCAGACACGAGGGCCGAGGCCCGGCCTTTGAAGCTCGCCTCCACAAGTCCAGGATGCGGGCGTTTGCTGGAAATCGCTGCCTTGAGAAGCGAGTGCAATTCGAGTGCAAAGCAGCCGCTTCAGGGCTGGGCCTGCACGGCATGTCTAGCCACATCCAAGGGCATTGTCGCGACCTGGCATAGAGCTGCACCAAATGTCACAGGAGACGACTTCTTGAACTGAAGAGGTCAAAGCATGCCTCAGTCCAGCTTGACCTGCCTCCTTCGTTTTTGAGCTCAGGTTGATTGCTGTTAGTACCGGCAGAACAAGCAGCAACTACATGCCCAGACAGCTAGCTGGAATCAGCATCGCTTTCGTCAGGAAAGATCCACTAAAGCAATTCCAAACATAAGTGCACACGATAGGCCATGCCATGCTTAGCGAAGTGGTGGGTCTTGACTGTGAGTGCTGTAACAACGAGTAGAACTATAAACGTGGTTCGTTTTTCTCCTTTGCAGGTTCCAGAAGCTTCTGAGCCTTTCCGAACTTTCCTGCCGGACACTTCGGTGAAATCTTTGGTCCTCGAAACGGGGAAGATGTTGTGGGCTTGAGCACCGGAATTCGACGCGAATGCGTCCTCTGCACCCTGTCCAATCAGTGCTTAGTTTTGTTCGCCTGATGCCATAGATTGTGCGGAGGTGTGGGAGTGGACCGGAGCGTGACGCACAATCCATCCTTGTCAACCTTTGGTCGTCAGACGAGAGTGATAAGAGTTCGGGATCTGCAACTAGGATATCAACCTGGCGTTCTTCGCTTTCGAAGGGACCTCAGCCTCAGCTCTCGAGACCAGATGATCCGTCGGCTTCAAGCTTTGCAGTTCTTCCCGTCAAAGCCGGAAAGAGATTCGACAACAGCACAGCGGCGCAGACCTGTCACATCGGCCCGTTTTCGAATACGGCCTCTGGAAGTGTATGGAGAGTGTCCCCCGCCTAGTTCCCCACCTCCCTGCCTGTGTCTCAGTATGACGAATCCCTGACGCTATCACATTACCTGACCCAATCACATCCCAATTCCCACTGGACTTATCATGGCTTGATGTAGGACGTGGCAGTAATCATCTGCAAGGATTTGCAATTTTGCCCTGGTGGTGACTGGCGTCGCTCTGGGAAGCTACCGGTCATCACGTCGACATTGAGTTTCCACGAAGAAACCGGTTACAACACTGCAATACGGAAGCATAGCAGAATTTGACCTCCACCCCGTGTCGGATAAACCGAATCCTTGGAGTTGGAAGGAAACACGCACGGAATTTCGAACGACGTGGATGGGACAACCGATGAAGCAACAGCAACTCCTGCAGACAAGCTCAAGCACAGCGTTGTTGTTTTTGCTGGCCCTTTGTAGCCAGTCCTAGTCTTGCCCGCTTCATCTAATCCGTTGGCCACCTGGTCGAATTAAGCTCTTGATGTCAACTTGTTGATAGAAGGGCTCTGCTAGCATTCGGCATTTCTGCCCATCCCGTGCTGGTCGGCCGTCCAGCACTGAGAACACGTGCATAAATCTATATCAGGTCAAATGCTCTGCCTGTTCGGCGAGCTGGTGCGACAGCTGTGCAATAGTTGAATTTATCCTGGACTGGTAGATCAATGGTAGAACAGCTGCAGTCTCCACGAGTGCCGATCGCGAGTGCACCTCGGCGTGAGGCTGAAGCGGCTCCGGAAGACAACCGCTTGCAAGACCCAACTTGACCGCAACACGTCTTGCAGCCTAAAGAACGAGGTCGGTCATGTGACCCATATCAATTGCTGCAGCAGCGGGCAAAGAAAATGCCAGGATGGTACCAATTACCTGACAGTTACATGGTCTTGCTATGCCTCGACGGTATTTCAACTCCTGGGAGAAAGGCCTCACCATAGTAGGATGTCAGCGCCACCCAGTATCGCCGGTTCTTCCCTTGCACTTGTTGCATGCATGTTGCAGTCTCTCCGGAACTGCATGGTCAATCAAGGCAGCAAAGTCACGTAAGGCGAGATAGACCTGCACCTAAATCCCGAGGTGGTTTTGCAATGGACTGAATGGGTCAACAGCATGCCACACAGAACGCATCAATGAAATGTTGGCAAGAGACTCCGATAAAGATCAAGCCAGCAATCCAGGCTTCAATGAGCAAGCACACACGCATCCGCTGATACTTTGTGAGCGGGCCATGTACTGGAGTGGCCTCGTCGGTGAAGAAATACTGGAAGGCATTCTCTCCAAAGCCGAGTTGGATGGTCTCCATGATCATCAAGAACAGCATGGCAAAAGGAGCAGAGACATTGTGCACGGCGGTGAGAACTACTTCGTAGCCGGCCACGTCTGAAAGGCTGGGCACCATTGCAGCAAGAACAAATCCAACTTGAGGAACCAGAGCCCAGGCAATGCGTAAGCGACGTTCGAGCGCCGTCTCCAGAACGATCGAGTGGATGGGGTTATCATTGTCAACATAGGGAGCCCAACTACGATAGAGCCAGAAGGTGTACATCGATATCACACTTAAGACCGAGGCGAGCCCTAAAGCTGTGCTCCACAAGCGACCTTGCGGCTGCGTCATGTCTTGCGTCATGTTGGACAATGTTGCTTTCTGTAGAAAGTCTCTTGGGACACTCTGCGCATCCGGCTCCAGTGTCGCGAGCACGGTGGCAGTAAGGGTGCCGGACAAGACCAAACCAAAAGCAATGTCAACGAGAACCGAGGACTGCACCACCTGTTGCTTCGAGAAGCCGATGAGCAATGCCAGAGACGTGTCTGCCACAGGGTCTGTGGGCTTCCCAAATGGCTTGGATAGTCTGTCTGATATCCAGTTGGCTGTTCCCTTTGGCATGCTGCTGTCCCGCAGAGCGACGACCAAAGGGCCCAGGATCACTGCAAGCGCAATGACGAAAAGCCAGCACACTGGATGTTTGCGACATCTCCTGCGGTTCCGAAGAACCCGCATTATCCTGACCCCAGCCACGTTAACCATACACTCTTACACCCACAAATTATGTACGAGCTGTGTGGCAAGGTGCTTGTCTGTCTCGGACCAAACAAAAACTTCATCATCGCTGTCCGACTCCTGCCAGCTGGAAAGCCCTCCCCTCGGCACTTGTGTGCTTGAAAACATGCTTCTTGAAGCCATTTCGAGCCTCTTCCCCATCTTCAACCAATTTATCCTCACTTCTTGTTGGAGCAAGGTACAAGCTTCCACTCATCTGGCCTGGGAGCAGCTTAGAGCAATGACAGGCAAATAAGCGAAAAGCCCTTGACAGCGGAGCCGCGGCTGCTGCTTTCACAGGCCCTGGCGGGGTCAACTTCTCCGCGCTGGGATAGGCAACACATCTGCTAGCAATCGTTGCTCGCAGAACTGCTGCTGCTTGAACACGCGGCGGAAACATGTGATACAGCAAAAGCCGTGAAACTCTCCAGGCATGAAGCATCAATACAAACAGACCGGTGGAACACAGAGAGACGCGGCACCAAGAGTTCCGGCCCGCAAAAGGGCCTGCAAAAGGAATCGCTCATGACTTATCACAGTGGACGACTCCTGAGTCTCGGACTGTAAACTCAGGTTGCTCCATGCGAGAGAACAGGGTCGGCTCAGATTTAGAGCCAAAACAAATCCTGCAGGGCAGGGCACGGGATGGCTCTCACTTGCACGCATGGCTCTCTCCGAGAGCCAAGCTCTTGGACTCACCCTTGGCGAACCCCGAGAGTTACCCTCCCGAACAGAAAGAAACTGAAGCTTCGCCGGAGACTCGCGAACAGTAACAACCACAACACATGCTTTTTATACCTTGCGCAGCTGGGTGCAGAGTCACTCGCTTCTCACTGCTGCCATTTCTTTCTCGGCCTCCCAACGCGTCGTTTACATATGCACATCGACATGACGAACAGTTTCCAAGCAGCGACTTGCAGCGGACCACTCGCTTTTGCATGGCTTCCGAACGAAACAGGCTCCCTGCTTGCAGAGACTCCTAGAAACTTCAGGCCAGTGTCTTGGATCACGCGGTCCAACCTGCAGCTGCATTTCGAAAGCAGCGCAGTAAGAAGCATCCTTTGCAGACGAAGTGCCATAAGAGAGGCCAACACCCTCGTTGCAGGATTCTCGGCCTGAGCCGGGACTAGATGACTGGCCATGTCTTTGCAAAGTGTCATGCTTTGCTAGTTGCTTCTTCCGGCTCCTCTGTGCAGATCAAGTCCGGCAGGGTCAGCAGGCGAGTCACAGCAGTAGCAGGAGCAGGAGCAGGAGAGCAGAAGCAGCAGCAGCAGCAGCAGCAGCAGTTGTAGTAGTACTCGTCGTCGTCTCCGTCGTCGTCGTACACCTAGTCGTAGTCGTAGTCGTAGTAGCAGCAGCAGCAGCAGCAGCAGCAGCAGCAGGAGTAGTAGTAGCGATGTGGGAAGTGATAGTCATGGCAAAATTCCATAGAAACAGGCTGTTGTGTATTCTGTCAGCAACTCTATAAGTCTTCATTCCCTGGCTAAACGGACGGCAAGGGCACGTACATTACGAAATTGAAGGCTCCTGTGACTCCACCTGCCGGACTGGCTTGTTCTGGCGCAAGTTAGGGCAACTTATTCACCATGCACATGTTCGGAAGCTCGCTCTGCAAACAGGGCATCGATGATGCTCGCAGAGGCCGGAGCCTCATATGGACCCGTCCGATGCAGCACGTGACCTTCGAACAAGAGGCATTCGCCACGTTGGTAACCTGAGCACATGACAACACCGGTGCCCGATGATACAGGACTCTAACTTCATCAGAAGTGCATCCAACCAAGTGACTGTGCTCAACCACAGAGAAATCTGCGGAGGCCCAGTGTTCAGGGCATTCGTTGGGATTTTGTTCGGCTGCCTCTCACCACAGCAGCTTCCAAGCTTAATCTGACGATAGGTGCCCTCGTTTTGTTCAATGACATCGCCTCTTTGGCAACCAGCGCTGCCACTGCAGCTATGGAGGGTGCCACTGAGTCGGCCCGCGGTAGCGCGTGCTCCTTTAGGCACAGCTGCGTCCCACCCAACGCTCGCCAATCATCGTCATCCTTGGTACAGCATGACAACGCACGGACAGAACTTTCAGAGCCATGAATCCAGAATCCTTCATTTTTCGAACTGAAAGTGTTGTATCATCTGCATCTAGCCGCCCGAGGCCATAAAGGAACCAACATTGTCCAGGACAAAGCATCTGGAATGCCGTACCAGTCCACGTGCCATTTTGAGGCATCCTCATGCACGCTATGAGGAATGATGGTCAAAGAGGCTGTGTAAAGCCTCGGATCATGTGGAAAGAGATGAGAGGCAACCAAATCTGTTTTAGATGACGGAAACAGCGAGTAAAGTCTCGGCAGGCGGGTGACATCAATTGATTCCGCAGTTTGCTCGGAAGCCTCTTGAGCAGAGCGCAGGCTGCATCATCAAATGCCTTGGCTTCCATTTCGTTTTCGTCACAACCGGCCTGCCTGGACTGAATGTGTTGAAGTAGCTGCGACCGTCTCCTCGTCATCTGCCCACAGCCAGGTCTGTCCAGGTACTACTCCAGAAATCTCCGACACAAAGGTACCTGCATGAATGCGAGCTCCAGAATTGCCTTCGAGCATCTAAAGCAAACATTAACAAAAGGTTGAAGTCATGGCTGCCCAATTCTTCCTTCCGGTATAGAGCCACCTGTAGGCTATTGTCGGACCGCGTGAATACAAGCCATTGGCCATGCGGCACGAGGTTAGTAAGACTCGTCCATACACAGCTATGCTGAAGACAACTCAGCGCAACCACCACAATAATTAACAGTTCGTCCGAAGCACAACATCCAGCCGTCTTCAACGAATGCATGCCATGCTCAGGGCATGCCCGATAAATGTCCTCCTCATGATTCTCCCGTTCCGAAGTATGCCCAAGTAATTGCAAGATGTCCAGGAGCGGTGCCTAAGCTGTCGCACGGCAATAGGTCCTCTTGCAGTGTGCATCAGGTGAAGTTGAACGCTGCAAGCAGCAATCGTCTGCTCGTCGAGCACTGCCACAGCAGCCGAAAATCTTTCATTCGCTTCCCTTCACGGCAGCACAGGCAGGTCTTCACATAAATTCGATTTGTCGAAGCTGCCTCGTCACTCGAGTTGGAGCTCGACAAGGTGTTCCTCAAGGCTCGGCCGCAAGGTTCGCTTGACAGCTGCAATCTGCCTTACAGCAGGGACTTCTCCCCAGCACATTCTTGTGCAGGGATCGTGATCTGCTACTGCTACGCGCAGGGCACGACGGCGGCAGCGCCATTGCCCGGGCTAGGCTTGGAAGTTGAAGCACATACGAGCGGGAACCCGATCACATGATTAAGGTGAAAGGCAAAAGAAACATTGTGCAAGCGCATGCGCATGCGTACATGCACATGCACATACGTGCATGTGTACATTTACATGCGTACATACCGACGCACATACACATACATACCTACCTACCTACCCACCCACCTACCTACCTACGTACGTACGTACATACATCCACACATACATACATACATACATACATACATACATACATACATACATACATACATACATATATAAAAACGAGTGGCTACACACTTACACGAATGTGTACAAGTGTATGTACGTGTAAATGTAGCTCGTCTCTCTCTCTATATATATATATGCATATATATATACATATACATATATATGTGTATATATATATGTATGTGTAGGCATTTATTTATTTGTGTGGTTTCTTTTTTTAAAACATATAAACAGATATGCATGTGTATGTGTATATATATATACACACGTACCCACACTTATTTATTTGTTAGGGGATTTATTCATATGTTGATTTACCTGCTTATCTTTCTTTCTTACTTATGTATTTACTCAAAATCTACTGCATCAGTAATCATGTACTCGTTCGTTGTCATGTATTTATTCGTTGGCTTGTCTGCTATCTAACTCTAGTGATTCTAGTGACTGTCTGCTTTCCTCTAACTCGAGAAAGCCCTTCGGCCCTGCTCTGGCGCAAAGGTTGCGAGTACAGGAGTGCGATGACCAGAAGGCAGCTCGTTGCCTTGACGTTCATGCTTTGTCCGTCTGTAGCACAGTGAGATCTGCACAGTGGGGCGGAGCACAGCAGCTTAGCACAGAACAATCGCTCCCCATTTGAGCCGAGGGTGGCACAGTATGCTGAGCACGGAGCTGCCAGCCATGGTCCACAGTGTGGAACTCGGTTGCCACGATTGCACTTTTTCTGAGCCAATTCAGATCCCTTCCACGACTGGGCTTGCAACTCTCTATCCCAACGATTGACGATGCTCAGCACCGCCCCTGCAGTTTCTCTATCTGTTTAGAATTTGGAAGACAGGGCCTTGACATGCCACTCCCAATGCGGCATAGACCCGCCCATCATGCCTGAAAAGAGCCCGGAGATAGCCCCGTTGTATGGATAAGGAAAGCCGTCTCTTGTCAGCACCTCGAGATGGAGCTAGGCATGCATGCTAAAGCTAAGCAGTGCTGAAGGACAGCTCGCAAAGTACCCTGAAATGTAAGGCGATCGCACATGACGAAAACGAGGTCAATAGGCACCTCACGCGTAATGGTTCAGAAAGAGACATGCAGGGTGGGCCAATGCATAGAGGGATGTGCTGATCAGACAACTGACATTCCACAAAGATGTCGTCTACAGTTTGCACTGTCGCCCGGCCCACACTATGCCAAGCGGCCAGACGCCAGCGAGCGCCGCGGGCCGAACAGTGCCTTTGAGATGTGCCAGGAGGCCGACACCCTGCAAGGGCATTGCCAAGACAGGAAGATTATCTCCGGCAAATGCTCTCGACAGGCTTGGCGCCGTCTCCGGCCCGAAGACCAAGCCAAAGATGCCTCCTGCAGGGGATAACAGCCCAAGCCCTTCCACATTAAATAGCCATCGGTTTGCAAGCCAAGCCCAGAAAGTCAGCAGGCCTCTCACTACTCTAAATGCTTGTGGAAAACGCGCTACAACAGGATGGCGGGAGCATGCATGAGCAGCTGAACATGCCAAACGACAGCCTAAGCAGATCAAACCTCTGCCGGCCCCATGCTCGATGTTTTTTGCGCAGAAATTGGGAAGTCACAGCTACCATGCTGGTAGGCTTTATGGTCATGTCTAACCCGGCTGTGCTAAAGATGCATGGGTGGCATGCAAGAAGCCCACCCTGCTAAGAATAAGATCTCGGCGACGGCCACAACAAAGAAGCGTGCAAAAAACAATCTGAAGATCGGAAACAGGTCCGCAGCCAGCAGCTAGCAGAGTCGATGAAGTGTCGGTTCGACATGAACAATGCTGAGATTCGTTGCAGAAAGTGTTGACAAGACAGCGCTAGCTTTTTTTTGGAACAGATACAAGAATGCTCTACATGATTTCCCTGCTCGTCGAATGGCACGATTTGACAGGTGCGACTTCCATGCTTCCATGGTTTTCGCACAGGGACTACTGCAAGATTCAAGAGGATGGTGCCATGCCTGACTCTTCGCTTCTCGCTGTCATACTTTGCAAGCTGCACAATTTCGGCCCCGGCCGGAGCAGTCAGAGGTTCCCTTCCAGGAACCTCTACATCACCTCCCCTTGATCTCCTCCCCTTTGACCTCCCCCGTGGCCCCACCACCAGAGATCCTGACGGCAGTTCCCGGCCCCCGCGTGTGCACGGTCAACTTGCTACTTGGGCCCTGATGTGGAGACTGACCTTCACCTGCAACCGGGCCGAGGCAGACGACGCGAAGCGTTTGCACTTGATGTGACCGTGAGGCAGAATCGTGCCTGCCACAGTTCCACGGTAGAACGATTCCACGCTATTGCTGACCTGGGCTTCTCCGAACAGTCATCGAAGTATTCAATCCCGTCCCGAACATCCGGGTTGCACACACATGACACATCTGGTGGAGGCTTCGTCCACATGGCAAAGAGAGGAACACTCTCGCGTGTGGTCTTTTGCGACCGGCTAAGAGCCCGCAAAATCGATCAGCGGATTCTGAGGTTCAACCGGTCTACAGCAATCTGAAAGCTGTGCTCTTCGTGTGCTGTTCCAGCAAAGACAACTCTTTCGTTTCGCGGTGCAAGCTAGACTTGCATCCACGACATCTACGTCCTGTATGCGACCTAAGACTAAGAAATACTCTGCTTGAGCATACGGCGGGTTCCAACAAGTGCCACATGGCTACTTCCCCAATCATGCACCAGCACACACCAGCAAACTGGGAGTTGGAGCACTCGATAATGAGACCGTTGCCGCCGTTGCCCCACGTTTGCTGTAGATTCTGCTGTATGTGCCGGCCACAGCTGACAAAGTGCTGGCCCAAGCACACACGCACAGCTTTCCAGGATGTCAGGGCACATGTTGCATCCCGGCGTCGGCTTCTAAAGAGACCGCTTGCAATCCCGTGCAGTCCTGCAAAATCGATGTTTTCTCCCTCAGAGACCAGTCAGCCATACATCTTGCATTCGCCTGCTTGGGAGGCTTAAACAACTTCAAGCGTAACGGCCTGATGGCTCTGCAACCTAGGCAGCTCAAACACTCAACTTCTTGCTAGCAACAACTCTTCGGGAGACTTGCAGTCGAGACGAGGCTTGTAATGAAAACCCCTGTGCAACATTTACCAGCGCAATACTGCCGGACCTGCCGCTTGCTGAATAATTCCCCATCTAAACTACATCAGCCTGCCTTGCTCCTGCATCAGATGTACGCTACAGTCATGGACAGCACTTGCATGTTGGCGAGCTACACCAACTTAATTGCATGCACAGACACAAATTAGCATTTGCTCTATGTTCTGCATCAAACCTTGACTGGCAGCGGAAGCATCAACCATCCTGACACTTCTCGACAATCAGTATGCATCAGCAACCGCAACGAGCAGCATAAAACGTGCCCGCTGGCACGCCTGACGTCAGATTCCCGAGGCAAGCCTCCGCGGTGTTTCAAGGTACATCAGTGGGCTTGGGTGTTTCACCAGCCAACTGCAAGGTGAAGGCAAGGGAAACCTGGGTGTCTAGATGGGAAGTCGAATGTGCCAATGCTGTGGCTGTAGATGTACACGGCGGAAGCACAGGCAACGCTGCAATTAAAGTGAATCAAGTCGTTGAACTTGTCGAACATGTGAGTGGTTCGGTGATACTCGCAAAGAACAAGCTTGTCGGCACACCAGCAGTGACGACACTGACCAAGCTGGCTGAGAAGGTAGTAAGAGCAGTAAGCAGAAAACAGCATGAGCTTGAGGACAATAGAGAGCAAGCCTGTGCAGTTACAAGGCGCGACAGTTGCCGCTCGCCGGACAACCAAGAGCGGTGCAGCACCGTTTGCTTGGAGTTCCGGCTTGAAGGTAGTGGTGTCACGCTGCGGCTTCGCATGTACCATGTTGTTGAGAGTTTTGGGTGTTCCTCTGTCTACGGCCCGCCTGCCTGTCATGCCGCAACATTTACCCGCACGCTGACATTCCAGGAGTTTATCTTGTGCCCTCTTTTCGCCGCTGGCAGGAATACTCGTATGCGATGTGCGGCAACAAAGCGATCGCCCGATCCTAAACACGGCAATGACTTCTCGCTCTGTGACATGCTGCACATTTCGAAACCTAGAACTGAGAACCAGTCGAAGCACAAAACAAGCAGCGCTTTCCGCTATAAAGGAAAGAGAGGCGTTTTCATTGTGCTCGGGCGGCTCCCGCCATGACCAAAGCGACCAAGTCATCGAGCTCGAAGGAGAGCCTGGCCTGTCTTCACTTCGACAGCTCGCCTTGCGAAGAGCGCGCATTTCATGCTGGCATAGAGCAGCTTGTCACAGCCTGGGCCCACCTCCCTCCAGCGAGAAGCACTCCCGAAGTTCGCAGACGACGGCTGCCTCGGCGGACAGCGGACTCAGCGGATAGAGGGCCGGTATGGGTCCTTCGACGAGCGACACTGGGAGCGGTCGCCAGTACGGGCTGCCCCGTAACTCCTCGAGAACTCGAAGCGCCAAGCAATGCGAACATTTTGGGGGGGTTCGGGCCTGTGTCTTGCTCCGTTCTCTTGGAGATAAGGAGCCGCTGCGGAGCCTACCTGAACGCGAGACGGCTTAGAGAAATCTACTGGTACGTCGCATGTCAGGCTCGAATCCTGCATCGGAAGGCGAGTTCAGAGACAAAGCGGCCTCGAGACAGTCTTCGAATCATGTGCATCTCGGCTGCATCTGATCCGACTGGGGATCTTGCAGCCTTTCGGGAGTCTGGGCCTCCCGGATAATTGGCTCAGCAGAAGAGCCAAGCAACGCTTGCATGTCTGCAAGCGATGATCTCGTCTAAGGAAACAACGATTCGCCTCCAGTTCGGTGCAGGTCAGCCCTGAAGGTCAACCCATGTTCGCCATGTTCTTCCATGACAACTGCCCGGATTGGCCTCAACTCGTTTCGACCCGAAGTGGCTTTGTCCGCCTCCTGTCCAAAACCCCGCACACGCTGCATGTCGGCAAGCATCAGCATGCATCCGAAACCCATGTCCTGAACTGACCACTTTGGATGCACCGTGGGTTGCCGGGCTTGTGGAGAAGGCCTGGTCTGGACATCTGATATAGATTCACCCTGACCTGCCCGTATACAAGCACATGGAACGCCTTCTCCCTGAACGCGATCGAACTTCGCTAAAGGTCGGAGTGGCCTGCTACCCGTAGAATGCAAAAAAATGTATGACTGTACCAGCTTACGAGGCGAGGCCGGAATCCAAGTTGCGAGCTTGCAGAGGATCTTGGTCGCGCTGCCTCAGTCACTGAACTCCTGGCTCTAGTCTCAGAACCCAATGAGCACAGCTCCTGAGCATCTTCTCGTGACGACGCACCAGGTCATCCATTCCCTTGCAGCACACTTTTGGGTGGTCTCTCTTGGTCTTCGTCCCTCCATCCCCACCTTGGCCAGGTGCTTGTGCTTCGCCAGCTCGCGGGTCAGCTCCTTGGTGTCTGCCAACATCGCGTCCATCCGTCGCAGGCCGTTGTGGCAGCGGCGCTCACTTTCCTCAGAAATTACAAATTCAACGCAGCGGAGCCGAGCGAATCCCTCAGCGATTCCAAGCTTTCGTCGGACAGCGCAGCAAGCGCAGACTCTTCCGCGGCTTTTGCTGCTTGAGCCTGACAGGGCCGCAGGCTCTGAAGTTTCCTTCACTCCATCACAGGCCTGTGCAAAAGCTGCATTCACCTCTGCTTCCAAAGACACCTCCGGTAGAGCAAGGTGCGGGTTACAAGGTGGGTAGACATTATCCTTGCAGCGCAGCTGCTGTCGTCCTCTCAAGCTCCATCGAAGCTTGCCTGACAGTGCTGAGCTCCGAGAAAGAGCAAAAACGATGTGGGAAGTTCGGGCCTGTTCGGCAGCGGTGTCCGCCCCTGGCCCTTGCATGCTGTAAACTTCTCATTCCACGTTCGTAAACTTCATGATTCACTGTCGCTTCAAACCTCAGAAACTGGGGAATTCACCCACAGGCTCGAAGTTGCATCGCGAGTGTCCCACCTTGGCATGCTGAGGGACTGTTGGGTGGCACGTGGCATGCAGGCTGGGGAGAGAGCTCAAGATCCGCCACTCGCTGCCTGGCGCATTGGACACATGGGACACCAGACCGACTCGAGAAGTCGATCGCCTCGAAGCGGCAGCATCCTCCAGAGCCCTGTCCAGTTGAAGCCTTGGCCCCCATCGCTTGGCGTTGCCGGCCGAAGCGCTCCGAGCGGTCCGAGCGGTCCGAGCTTGCAGCTGGAGGTCCTGACCTGAAAGCAATGAAAACAGAGCCCGCGACATCGCTCCGTCACTGCACTGAGCTTTGATCATCGTCGCTCCAGGTCTTCCCTGGCCTCAGAGGAATGCACCTCCTCAGGATCGTATGGATCTCATGATGCTCTGTGAGGTTACGTGGCGGCAAGCGCCGTTCGTGCTGCTACGCAATTGTGCAGAACAGTGTACAGTGTTCATCTGCCTCCAAAGTTGAGCTGTCACCCCTTTCTGCTCACAAGCTCACGATAATTCAGAACACATGCCCAGCTGCAGCACTATACGACAGTTTCGAGAAGAGCATGGTGTTCCTCAGAGAGGCTGCTGCACTGCTCGCGAGGGATGGCCCAAAGGCAAAGACACCGGTCAGTCAGACAAAAAAGTAAAGCAGAGGTTGTGGCTCATGCGACCCAACACCGGTGAGCATGCGCCGAATCCAGGATTTCAGGTGGAAGGCTTCGGACTTCGAACTCGTGGCTAGTCGTCAGGCAAAATCAGTGATGCAACTGCGACTCAGCAGCTGATGAGGGGAAGCTGTTGTGAATCCGGCCACCGGCACAGGCCGCAAGATCCACCCATCTAGACCGTGACTGCTTGTGTCGAGACGACATTGGCCCAGAGATGCAAATCCAAGAGAACTGTCCGCATTCGTTACTATGCGCGGTTGAACCCCAAGACCAAACATGACCTCAAGCTTAGAAGCCTGGGGCTGTTTGCCGCAATCTTCCCGTTTCCGCTTTGGGAAGCTTTCCGCAGCACCCGAAAGATTTTCTCGAAGCCAGAAACTTAAGACGTCCCCTTGGCGCACAAGTCACCCCGGCGTGTGCAGCAGAAGTCATCCCAGCGGGTGGTGCAAGAGAAAGGCTTGCAACGATCCTCTTCCAACAGTCTCGGGGCCTGCTGCACTTCAGCGCTTGGTTGGCTCTGCTTGCAAGGCTCTTCCCGGGCCCCAGCAAGAGAAGACCCGTGCATCTGCAGATCGCAGGCTCGACTTTTCGTAAGCCAAAGGCCGGAGACTGGAGCCGTGGAGATTGTAGCCTTGCATGGCATCAAAGCGACAAGAAAGCTCCGCAGGTCTGGGAAGAACCTGGGTTCGCCGGAATGCTTGCCATCCGCTTCGCCTTTCAGCCTACCAAAGCCAGAGCACAGCATGACGGGAATGCACAACAGGCAATTTTGAGTGACCCTGCCAGCTGCGCATCTCCTTCCGAAGCTCATGGCGAGCACGATCAGAGTCCTGCAAGGTTTCCTGCTTCACTTTGCTTCTTGAACTGAACAGGATTCTGCAAACTGGCAGAAGCTCTCCTGAGTCAGCCTCGCAAGGTTTCTTGAAAGGCAAGAGTGAGCAGATGGCATGACTGACAGAAAAGCCTTGAGGCCTTGGACGATAGGAAGCTGCAGAGTTTCAAGCTGAGTCAAAGAACGGAGGGTCGAGACTGTGAGAAGATGTCAAGAGCCAGCCTCTAACGGGCAAATAGCAGACGAGCAGACGACCAAAAACGCTGTACAGTGGCCGTCGTGGCTTGCAGCGCAGTCACGTCGTCCGGCGTGGACTTGCATTGGAGCTTGCTTTTGATGCCGTGGCTTTCTCGTCCGCTCCGCTTTGGCCTTCACGGCCTTGCTTGGCCGCAGGCGATTCCCGGTATCCGTGAGGATGGTCGTCACGGGCGCAGGAGGCGCACACACATCTGCGCACCGGATCGCAATTTCATCTGGATCCGGGGAGCTCTAATGTTCGCGACATTGCACCCCCTCATCCCAACTGGCAACCGTTCGCATTGACGATCTGCCCGACGCCCTCAAGGCTGTTCTTCCGATGAGTTACTTGAAATGCACCGGGTACCGAAGTTACAGACGACAGCTTTGCACAGCTGCACATGCACCTGTGCAGCTGTGCAGAACTGTCGTGTATAGGCGACTTCTGAGTCTATTCCGACAGGCTTGGTCAGCCGCAGGAGCTATTGGAGCACATTAGCACATTTAGCCAGGCTCCGTGTCGGGGATGCGTGTTGGCCAGCTAAAGACTGAGACTTCGACTGGCCATGAGCCTGCCAAGTCCAAGAAAGAATATGCACCCTCCGAACGGATCTCTCAATCACCATGCCTCGTCCTGCCCAGCTGTCCTGCGTCATATTTCGAACCAATCTCCGTGCTTGTGTCGGTGCTAGCAGTCCTGCGTTCCAGAGCTGTCTCGAGTACCCGACATCTAGTCCGGGCTTCACGCAGCTCGCTGAGGAGCATGTCCCCAGGCACCTCCCATGACATTTATCAGCATTACGCCTTACGGCCCATTCTCGTCCACGGGCTGATCTACGCAACGGTGTCACAGGGAGGGGGCGCCTTGGAACGACGGGACAGGTGCAGCACTTTCCGTCCACAGGCGGGGGCAGTGGTTCCTGCTTCACGTAACCTTTCCAAACGTTTCTGGGGAAAGCCCTCAGAGGCCATCTTTCCGAAGCAGCCGCTCTGCAGTTGGCATTTACATGTAAAACATATACTATAAATCGTGTTTTGCAGCGGCAGGTGGCGGCTCTGACCAGCCAGCGAAATGTTAGTTTGCACTGCGCTGCTCATTCGAGAAGAAACCCATGTTTCTTGTCGCACTTCTGGGTTGCTGTGGGCTGCTTCGCACATTGCTCAGAAGGTCTCTGCGTCCAGCAAAACATTAGCGGCAGCTGCCCCGGTTGCTACAGCTGCTACGTCTCTGATCCCATGTCATCCTATGACACCTTTTGTCATGAACCTGAGTAGAAAACTTCTTGCGAGTTTGCTACTAACAGTTGCTCCGAATGGCTTCCGACAGGGCCGGGCGCTGCGAGCCTCGGCCGCGATTCGCTCAATGTCCTGCCTCTGGCTCACCATTCCATTTCGTGATCGCTCCATGATCATGTCGAAACAACTCAGCGAGAGCAACGCGCCTCATGCTGTCTTGCTCGCGAGCCTTCAGTGCGGGGATGCGTGCGAACAGGATGCATCCCCCATGGCGAAACATGTGATGCGTCGCCTGGTAGTTCCAACGCTTCAGCTCATGCAGAAGATTCGAGGGTGCCTGACTGGGGCAGCAAATATCAGCAAATGCTGTCAAAAACGTCTGAAGCCGTCTGGAGCCTGCTGACGTTCCATGGCTTCGGCCAGGGCTTTGGTCAGACGGTCCTGCACGGCCAGAACAACACCAGGTTGACAAATGCGACGAAGCGTAAGCTGTCATCCTTCTCCTTTGCGTCGGCTTCAGCCCTCTGCAAATCTGAGGCGGAGCACTCGCCTAGGCTGGAATGGAAGAAGCCGAAGCCGAGGACCCCACTTCGATGCAATGGTGCAATGCCGAAGAAAGTCGCACACTCATCTCGTGCCGAAGCATTCGCCTTGATTCGTGCTCCAAAATGATGCTCCCACTTCCTCACGCTGCCTTGGTGCTGAGGTCTGAGGAGCTGGCACCTCCTTCTCCGACTGTGCCTCCAAATACCTTGTGAAGCAATGAGAGGAAGACGTGTGTCGTCAATCTGTCGAGATCGGTCGGGGCGACTGCCTTGCCGCTTTGCGCTGAGACTCCAGGGTGGACTCGAGCAGGCGACACTCTCTCTGCCTCCGACAGCCACAAGCCATCACAACATATATGGGACCATGTATGACAAATGCAGTGGCCACGGCCAATGCATGCGCCTCGTCTCACATTCGGACTGGAGCTTCTTGGCGTCTCCTGCAAGCCTCCAGCACAAACCAGACGAGAACCTCTCTTCATGAGCTCGGCATTAGAATGGCCTTTCTCGCTCTGCTGTGACCTGCACCAGCTGTGCCTTGTCGTTTGCGTATGTCGGTGCAGAAAGCAAGGATTCTGTCAATCGGAGGCGAGAGCGGGAAACTCACGGGTTGCAACTGAGGCAACTGTCTGCTCAACTCAAGAAGCTCTCTCAGGCAGCTGCACCCTGCTCTTGCTGCACGCGGAGCTGCTTCGCCTCTAAGCGGCCAATAGAACGGTGCCAGCCTCCTTTGACGACCCCAGCTATCTCTTCCTCCTCCGCCCGCTCGGAACGCAGCTGCGTCAAGGCCTGATCACTGGTTGCTACATCGGCTGGAGCCCGCGTCTCATCGACCTCCAACAGCTTGCTTTTGTCCTCTACAGCCTCGGGCAGGGCGAAGTGGCTCAGGTTGCAGAGTTTGCTGTGATGCAACACGGGCCTACGTCTGTGCATCCCACCTCCTGTTTTGACCGGTGGGACTTCACCAACTCTTCGCGCAGCTCTTGAAGCTGCGCATGGCAGCTTGCTTGAGAAGCCTTCGAAAAGAGATTTAGTCTAAACAAACAACTTTTCGCAAGCAGTCGCATCAACACTGAGCAAGCCTGTAAAACTCTAGGCAATGCAAAGTGCTTCGGTTGAGGCGACTGAATTCTTTAACCGCTCCGCCATTCTTCGTGGAAACCCTGGCACGACACCAGATTTACGTTTCTGAGTCCCGGGTTACTAGACGAGATGTTGTCGGAAACGATGCAGGTAACACAGTCGAAACCTAGTCGAAAAGATCTTGACATCCACGTATCTGCCACCCCGGTTCTTGCACCCACGCGCATCAGATCAGAAGAACCCAATAGTGACTTGAGTGAGTCGAGGTGGTTTGTTTTCCTCAACATCAGTCCTTTCAGGAAAGTGGAGCCTGCCACCTTCATGCACCATGATTTTGTTTTTGGGGGGGGTCCCAGATGTTCTACTTAGAATTCCGCGTAGAGCTTATAGATGGCCCTGTCAGTGGTGGTCTTGCTGTTGTTAAGAATTGCACGAAGCTCGGGCGTCCTGCGCGCGCTGCCTTTTTGGTTTCAGGACTTGCAAGGCACGCAGTCATCACTCCAAACAGGCTCTTCTCTACCCACCACCATGCCATTCCCGAAAATCATAATTGTACGTGACAGTCGGCACTTCTCCGCCTCACGCTGCGTTCTGCACACAGAATGTGAAAGACCAGCTGTAAACTGTCCTGAAAGCGTCTTTACTACAGTTCTCACACGTTTGGTCTCTCGCAGTCTCAGTTCGTAGCTCAAGGCGTATGCTTGTTCAGACCAGAGGCACTCTCCATGAGTTTCGGGCACCATGCAGATGAAGTTGCTTAGTCGGGCATCTTGAAGCATGATCAACCCAGCGAAAAATGCTGCTCGGACCATGGATCCGCGTCGGTATGTTCGCTCTCAGGCAGCACTCCAGCCGGCCAGTTGGGCTTGAGTGAAGCTCATTTCTTGCGACACAGAGGCAGTCGTGCAGAAACCGTGGAATGCCAGCACAACACACTGCATTTGGAAGTGGGTTCCCTGCTTGGGGAGGAGGGACTGGGACGAAAGCTAGGCAAAGCAACAGAACAGGCTTGCTCTTGGCTTCGCGACCATTGCCGCTGCGTCGGGCTCTCGGTGTGCGATGATGTTCCAAGACTTTGCCACTAGATCGTTCTTGCAGTGTCTTCTAGGCCCATTGTCTGCTGCTCTCCAGGACGAAAGCCAAATCCTCAGAAATCATGCCTCAAGCAGCAAGATGCGCAAGCAGAAGGGCTTCAGGACAGAATGAAGCCAGCAACGAAATCCTACTTGGAGTCCTAGCCCAAGCCAGCAAGCGATCACGAGCATCATCGGGACCCATATCGGCCGACAGGAAAGCATCATGAGCATCATCGGGGGCTCGTTTCTCCATTCTGGAGCGGTCTGAAACGCCACTATCAAACACCCCACAAAGGACCCGGTGGCGCCCCTGGCCAAATCCAGCTCCAGGTGGCCTGGCTCGGAAACCGGTCCAAAAGGGCCCACCTGCAGGGGGCTCCTAGCCCCGCAGGGTAGCTTTCGTGACATCTGGACGGTGTAGCTTCTGCCCCGAAGCACGCACCGTAAATCCGCAGAGCGAACTTTTCCAGTGCTAGTGCCGAAATGTTCAAGTTGCACCAACTGGATTTGCCGGGAAAGCAAAAGCATGGAACGTTCAAATCACGACAGCATGACTTGAACATTTGCCCTTCCCTCTGAAGGCTGCTTGGATCGAAGGTCAACACCCAGCAAGTGCCTGCAGCTTCACGTTTTCCTCCTTCAATCGGACCAGGCAGTCCTGAAGTGCGAGGATCAGCGGGCAGCTTTGCGGGTTTAGGGTTCAGGTTTGCTGTTGGCCGCCTCGGTGTGGCCGTGCTGGGCAGCTGCCTCTGACAAAAAGTTTTGCTTGGAAGCCGACCGCAGGACTCAGGACCGAAACCTCCGCAGCCCCCTCACGAGCCCGCGTTCGCAGGGAGGACAAGGCACGTGCCAGCCTCTCCCTGGCAGCCTAGAAGTAGGAACTTCTTGGAGGTTCTAGCTCAAAGCAGGCTCCGTTACGGCGCCTCATCCTGAGACTCGGCAAACCGCAGTCGCTCGACGATGACCTGCCCCGATCGGAAGCAAGCACCCCTTGATGACGAGTCGGTGTCACCTCACGCTCCCGGCCGCTCAGCTGCCGCTCGTCATGAAGAGCCGCCTGTAGAAGCGAAAGAGCCGCACAAGACACAACTCTCTCTTGTTCCTTCACTCTTCCCGAAGCGCCTCAGCAGAGCGTAGCTTCTGCAGCAGTAGCTGAGCCTCTCGGGCGTTCAACGCCAGTGCCTGGACAGGCGCATCAGAATCAAACTCTCGAAAGGCACAGAGCAGTCGGCTGCGACGACGTGGCCAAAATTACCCAGGACCCAGGCGATACTGCAGGTAGCTTGCAGATTGCATCCCATTCACAGCACCAAAGCAAAGTCGAATTCAAACCCGTCTAGCGCCTCCTGTCGCGATCCCACCCAATCGTCGCTCCTGGACGCAGTGGCTCGTGAAGCGTTTGTTTCTGGGACTTTCATAAAGTGCATCTGAGCCCGGCACGACTGAGTCATGGGCCCAGTGGGTCCAATAATGGAATGTGAGAGGCGGAACGTTTCCGCCAGCAAAGGCGGCCGCCATCTGTGAAAACAACGATGCCCCAGCGGCCCGGCTCATCCCGGCCCGATGCTGTGCAAGTGTTCGTAGATGCCTTCTTTTGAGTTGGGGTCCAAAGGGGATCGAAGGGCCGAGTGCTCGACGATAAGAGCTTGAATCTGGCCTCCAATGCTGGTTTGAGCTTCTGGTAGCTTCTGAAAAACACGGCAGAACCATCATCAGACGAAGCAAGCAAGAGGCAGGCTTGAGAAAGCCGTCCCCTCTTCATACTCACCACACATGGCCGCTTCCCATCTGGAATTGGGCGGCACACCCACACGCGGCCCAGAACCCAGAACCCTTGCGAGGCGGAGAGAGGGCCCATACTTTCTGTGGTGATCTAATTTCAAAGAACTTCTTGCCAAGGCTAGTGACATAAACCTTGTAAACCGAGGTCAAGCTCTCGCATTCTCTCACCCTCACGCATTCTCTCACCCTCACGTGCCAAGCGGCCCTTCAAATTTGATTGTCTGCGATAGCTTCAAGCGATAATGGATGCGTGTCTCGTGCTCAGCGCTAGACGCTGGATAGGCTTACTACCAGTGTTTGCCATTGAGGCCTCCAGGATACCATGAGCGAGCGCATATCATGACGTCATCATGAACGATTGCGCCAAAGCTCCGTAGTTCTGCATGGAAAAACGGGAGTGCAGGCAAATTTTATTGTACAGGAAAATGCATCGTTCTGGCTCTTGATCCGCTCACCGGTCAAGAGTGGGTTATGAGTCGTAGAGAAAGTCATGCAAGTGCTCTGCTGGTCTCCGGTCCAGTCAGCTCCCCCTGCACATTTGAGGGTAGGGTGACTGTGTTTTGACTCCTGGGCATCAAGTGCGCTATGGCAGCTGTGCCCGTGAGGCAAGGTTCAGCGGCACTTTCCGCCGACAAGTTCTGACATTGCATAGTTTCTGCCACGCTCCGAGGCTCTGTGCCAGGGTTTGCCATGCCCGTCTCGCCGGGAGCTGTAGGATTAGCTGCCGACAATCGAAGCCTCAGGCATTTGTCTCTGCACACAATGTGAAGGTGTTCAAGCCGGACGATATCCTGGCGAATGCGACATGAAGCGAGAGGCTGTTCATAGTATCCTTTTGCTGTACTTACTTAACTCAACGAAACACTGAGGGAGAGGCCAACATCAAAAAAATAATGCTCGCCCTCAGCTGCAAGCTCAAGAAGCACCAAAGCGTTGCGTCCCAACTGCGCCCTGCTTGCAAGCCAGGCATCAGTGAGCACTTTAAGGGCCCGCCCAAGCGCAGTGCGCTGCTGACGCTGCCGTTGCCCGAATCGGAGGTGTCTTGCTCGAAGCTCACGACCTGCGGCAGCGACCACACCAGACGAACTCTCATGGACGCTCCGAAGCTTTCTTCCTTCCGGACCTTCTGAGAATGCGTCCCAGCACCGGTGGCTTCGTCAACTTTCTCTTTCAGCATTGTGTTGAAAGTCTCTGGAGTGACCGCATCAAGCTTGCCCTGCACCTGCTCTTCAAGTTTGGGTTGTAGACACCCGCTGAAAGGAAAAACTTCGGCCCAGCCTGCTCTACAGGCACAATGGGTACCAATTCGCCACCCGCTCCCTCTACGAAGGGCACTGTCAGAATGTAGTCGACTGTGATGTTGCCAGCGGCACCAGGAAACATTTGCAAAGCCTTTGCCGGAGACATACACGGTCTGTGGGTCCAACTTACATCGTTGCTCACTTCAACCAAGGCCCCAACGATCCAGTGCTCACTGAGACCGGAAATATCCTCCATGACGTGTTTGTAGGCGTTGATGATTCTGGAGTCTCTTATGTAATCCACGTACATCGTCACATCTGTGACGACCGCACGGACGGACAGCCTGCCAGACAGTTGTTGCTGCAAGGACACTTCCAAAAGAAATTCGGCTTGCCCTCGCCATCCCTCGCCTCTCCACCGCTGCAGGTTCAATCTCCGTGGTGGTGCTCGGTGGCACTGTGGATTCGGAGATCTCGGTTATGGTGTGAGTAATTGTGTGGGTTGCCGTTGTTGTCATGGTCTCTGTTTCTGTTGCTGTGTGAGTAGAGGTTTCGCTTGCAGTGGAAGTTATTGATGTCTCTGTCAGCGTGTGCGTGGTGGTGGCAGTTTCGGAGATGCTGGTGCTGGTCTCCGTGTGTGTCACCGAGGTGACAGTCGTTGCTGTCACGGTCTGTGTGGTGGTTGTGGTTGTCACACAGCATGGGCTGGCACACGCTGTAGAACAGGTGTCCAGACTGCCGATACCTGTCGGATGCAAAATCGAACTTTCATCTGCAATTCTCCAGTGCAACATTGGGACTGTGGGACCTGTCGGTTGGGGGCGGACCTGTGCAGGTGATGCCAGCAGTGGCGAGATCTGCACAAGAGAGTGCACCAAGGCAAACGAAGTTCCAAGCTTCGTCCGAGCATCCTAAGGGCGGCAACAGCAAACAGTCCCATACAGGACCCAGCAGCCGAAAGTGCTGTTCACCAAGCGACCCTCCGGCTTGTCTATGCCAGATGCCCGAGATATCAGCAGAAGCCACGGCACGAAGGTCCACCCCATGGCGAAAGCTGTCGCCAGTGTGCAGCTAGCCGGCGGGTCCCAAAACAAGGCAACGCCTTGATCCGCACAAACCATGTGAAGCGGTGAAGCGCCTTCTGAAGCTGTCACGTCTCACACGTCTCACAAAGCATGTGCGGCTGCCTACAAAGTGCTGCGCATTTGCGACTAGGGTCTAGTCAGATGCAGTCCTTCCACCAGTACACTCAGCTCAAGTCTGCAGAATCGTTGCATCGGATGAGCTCTCCCCACAAGGCAGCCGAACTCTCTTCTCCCTGCACTTTGGTTCTGTTTACCTCTGCTACAGCAAGACGAAAACGCTTTGTGGCATGTTGTCCCGCCCGTGAGCATGAGTTTCAGAAGAGCTTACTGTATAGCAGACTCAGTCGGCAAAGGCAAACGCAGCGGACGAAGGCCTCTGCAGGTTGCAGAGCTTGCCGTGGTCTGTCACGCAACGTAGGTCTGGGATTTCGCGCTTCGCGCTCCGGCTACATGCAGAGCAGACTCGAAGGAGAAACAGCTCACCGTCGGTCTCGCTGCCACTGCAGCATGCACTGCTGCAACGTGGTGCGGACATCCTGCTCGGCCAGGCTTACTCTACAAGGCAGAGAAAGCAATATGGCAGTGTGCCGATCCTTCAGCGGTGCCTCTTGCAACAGAACCTCCGAGCGGCGGCAATAGCCGTAGAAAAGGAACTTTCTAGAAAAGGAACTTTCAACGTTCAAGCAGCCTCTCCGAGCTGCCGCGGGCCGATTTCCGACTGTAGACCGGGCAAGGCTCCAACCTTGGCACTGACTTCGCAGATTCGGCCGTAGCTTTGCAGCGCCCTTTCACCCTTTCACCCTCCAAGGCAAGGACCAGCGATTGCTGGAAGGCTTCCTTTGTCTGTTCGAGCTGCGCCTCATGGCGGCGTGGCACTTCTGCGGCTAAGAACTCTGACAACAAGGCTACCCTCGCCTGTGGCTGCACTCTTGGGTTCATCACCGACCGCAGAATCGAGGCAGCCTTTGGTTGCACATGTTGCACAAAAGACAAGAAAACTTCCATCTTTGCACAGCGTGTGCACCCTGCTACATCTTGCAAGGCTTGTCACAGGAAGCTGCATTGTTTGTTATTCCTTGTGTCGCCTCAAGCGCTTGTGCTATCTTCTTGTTAACCGAAGCCACTCAAGCCTGCACGTCATAGCACACACTGCCTACCCTTGCTCGCTTGAAAAGTCTTGTATTCTTAAGGCGGGATGGCGACGTTTGCCGCCGCTTCTTCCTTCTAACTGCATCCCAGTGGTGGCGGATTGTATGGGTTCTCGGCGTGTGCGTCGCCCTGGGAGTATGATGAGTATCGCCCCAGCTGCTTTCCGTGCTGCGCTTTCTGTTTCACAGCCCTGCAACTCGCAATCGTCGGCCAAAAACTGCCTGGCTGTGACAACTTGTTTTGCGGAGATGCCTCGCTGAGCACTTTCTGGGACTGGATATCGTTGTAGTCCATGCCTTGGACTAAACATGACAATCCTACATTGTGGCCGTGAGTCTCTGAAAACGCGTACTGAACTAGCAGCTAGCAAAGAAGCTGACACATGGTGCTGGAACACTGTATCTAGGCCCCCACGTGCTGCCGACCAGAGCATTCTCTGCAGCAACTGGGCCTCTGGGCGTAAACTGGACTTGCTGGGATGCGACCGGTTCGCTTGCTGCCTCTGAGCTCCAGACGATTGGCAAGCTTGCGATGGCCTCATCAAGTTTGCCCGCACAGCAACTGACGTGGGCGGGGGCGATGCAACAAATTCTTGTTCGTGCCGAGCCACAGCTGCCGCCTCGCTTGAAGACGTTGCCGCTTCCAGCAAAGCCTTGAAGCCCATGAACTTTGGACACCGAGTCTTTAGACACAGAGTGCATGTTGCTAAACTTCGATTCAGGCTGAAGCTGCCCAAGCGGATGCAGAGTACAGCACTGCCTTGATCCTTGTGCGAACAAGAACCCAGGGAACAATTATCAGAGCTCCTAGAGTCCTAGACTCAATCTGTGGCAGGGACTCCCGGGCATCCTGGAGGCCAACCCTTCAAGCTAGGTGCAGGCGGTGCAGGTGCAGCAATCAACCAATGTCTGGCGAAATAAAGCTTGCTTGTCTGAGTTCTCTGCAACAAGAAGCCGGTCATCTCCTGACCGTGCCTTGACATGCAACTCTTTGCTCGCTCGGATACCCAAAGCTTCCATGAGCCTTGTGTTTGTAAGCATGGGCTCCAACAGCGCGCTTGGACAGCGCCTCGGCAGCCAAAGCCAGATAAAACTCTGAAAAAACAACATGCTCCCTTCTAGGCTCGAGGCTGTGCTGCCTCTTTAAGCAGCTGCAGCATGGCATTTCCTAAGTTTGGGCAAGTTCAAATCGCACAAGGCTACCAGCGAGACTCCTGCAGCTCCAAGCTTCCAAGCTCCAGCTTCTCGCGCTTGAGCTGATCAGACTGCTCTGGCATTTGCTGCCACCTCTGCTTGAAACACGAGTGACGGAAAAAAATACATGATGCTGGTCTTGTCAGCCAAGCCCTTTACACAGCCAGCGGACGCAGAAAGGTCTGATGCAGCCTGAAAGTAGTGGGAATGTTGATCGCAAGCGTGCTGACAATTTGTTTTGGCAACAAAGCAGTTCAGCGAGGCATACATGATAAATGCAAGCTGTCTTTTTTTGCTTGCGTCCACAGGTGACAAAACAATGCAATTGACTTGCATGGCAGGTCTCCGCTGGACAAGAAAGCATTTCCGTGTTGGAAAGCTTTCACCATTGAATTGCATGCGGTGAGCGAGCTGTCGTTGAAAATTTTGAAAAGCTGCCCAAGGCCCAAACTGGCCCGAGCCTTAAACGAAAACCGCTATTTCCAGCACCTTGACGTTGAAGCGATTTTTTGACTGTGAAATCGCTAATGGCGACACCTTCCCCCCTCCCACGAGGTTGCCTCTGGCTGGTCAATGCCTCTGCAATGCTTTGCAAGCCCGGCACTGCATCTTTGCATGTCAAGCTGAATCAGCAGGGTGTTCTTGCAACGTCATGGGCGTCTGTATGGACGCTCCATGCGATTCAAGGCACAAGCATGTCCAAAATTTCGGCATTGAAGCTGCATGATTTGAAGAGGGCATGCCCTGGAAGATCAGTGATAGATCTCCTGCCCCACCCCCACTGCCCTTTCCAACCTATCAACCCATGTGGCCTTCGCATATGCGACATAACGACCCTCACTTCAAGACACAAATCGAATTTGGGAAATGCTGGTACAGCAGAAAACAGGGACTGCTGAAATGGTTGCAGAGGTTCTGTTGCTGTCGGCAACGGCACGTCAGGTGGTAAGTATGTATATGTGTATATGTTTTATATGTATGCACAGATCTTTCTATCTGTCTATCTATCTATCTACCGATCTATCTACCCATCTATCTAGATTAGAGTCATTGGAGAGGTGACGAGCATCTGTTTTTCGATTCAAACCCCCTCTAGGTAAGTGTGGGAAAAGCTCTGACACATCCATATGGAGCCCAGGAAAATCACTCAAGACTATGTGGCTGGTGCACTCGCCGAACTCAGCGAGTTGTGTGCGGAGGGCGCTCAAGCCGGGGAACATTCAGGAGCCTGCCACGCGACAAGAAGCACTGGCGGTCACATGATCGCTTTCACAGCGCCTGGGGATGCGAGCAGGCAAATATCCCGTCAAAGCTACTCGCTTGCCGCCCTCAGGATGACCAGGTCAAAAGCACAACTTCATTTCATCTGCTGAGTTGCCGACCCCATTCAGCACCGGCTGCAGAAGATCATCCAATGTCCTTGCTCTCACTAGGAGCCGGTACTTTCAACAGATAAGTGCATTGTCACGACCCGAACACAAAACCGTAAGCCGTTGGTGCAGGTCAGGAATCGGCTTCAGCAAAGCACGTGTTGAACGTGGTGAATGCATCAACGGTGATAGCTTCCGCCTTGATGCTTTCGGGTTGAAGATTTCCTCGGCCGCTCATGAACAGAGCCTTGTGTCACTCAGCTGTATAGGTGGCGGAGCTGTTTCGTTGATTTTTTTCCGGTGGCCCTCTGTTCATTGGCCGCAATGCCGAGTCTAAACAACAACCCACGAGGCATCTCGATAATCAACCTGACACCTTGCTGTTGGCATCTCCTGTAAATTCTAGCAGATTCTAGCAATACCTATAACCTACCCTAACCTTTTACCAAAACACGAGAGGCGCAAAACTGTCAGCAGGCACTGAAGTGGTGCGAGTATGCAGACATTGGCAAGCCGGCCACGCTAACGGCTATTCACACTAGTCATTCTCGGATAGTGAGCGGAGTGAGTAGAGTGAGTAGAGTGAATGGAGCGAATGGTGAGTGAGACGGTACAAGATGAGGTGAGGGAGTGACTGCGAGAGTGAGTGACGGAGGGAGGGAGGGACAGGAGTGGACAGGGGACAGGGGGGTATACAGGAGGGAACAGGACGGGACGGGAGGGCGGGGGACAGGAGAGCCGCACTCGTTCCCGCGCAAGTCACCTTCCGGATTTCCAAGCCAGGCAAACCACATCGCCGCTGCATTGGTGTCACGATCCCTGAAATACAGATGTGAGGAAGTAATGGATTGTCAGAGAGTGAGGAGTGAGTAAATGAGTGGGGAATGCAGAGCGTGACCGAAAGGAGATACAGTGAATCAAGCCACGCTGTGTAGTCATGGACGTGGAATTTTGCACGGATAAGTTGACTTTTTTGTGAGGGCTCTTCTCTCATGCCATGTGGAGCGTGGAGCTTGGAGTGTGCTCTGCTTGCGGTTGTCTTTTTGCCGGCTTCGTGCTCTGCTGTATCCACGGCTGAGCGACGTCGTCAGGCCGGTGCACTTCTCCCAGCATCATGTCCTGTCAGAGAGGGCGCAGGACAACCATCACCGAACCACGAAGCATGTGGACTCCTGTGCGAGCTCCTTGAACTGGCCCATGAAAACCCAGTCGTCAGCTGCTTCTTGAACCCAGTGCTTTCTCTCACGGTCCCTGATAGCAAGCAGAGCAACCTCCGCTGCCAGTTGCCAAAGCTGAATGTGCCAAGTCACTTTCGTTGCTCGCAGTGGTGCGGGACGTGCCTTTCCTCAATTTCATCGCCTTGCAGCTGCTCTACGAAAGCTGCACTAGAACATTGATATCTCTTGCCTGGGCGGCGGTGAGGCCAGGTGTACAGAGGTATCAGCGGCAAGTCTGCCCGCATTTGCAAGGTCTGCTTCACCTGCGCCCACCTGATCTAAACATTGCACGACTCGAAAGAACCTAGGGAGGCGGCCATGAAGATTGCTCTGCTTCAGGGAAATCTTCCAATGAATGATGCCTACGAATGGCATGTGAACTTTGGCACAGTCATGATAGCAGAACTTGATATCCTGATCCCTGGAATGTAATCTCTGTTGAAACGGTCTCTGGCCTTCAGGCTCAAGAGCAGCCGAAACAGACCCTCATTTTGATCGTGGGCGTGCAAGCCATGCACAACTCTTTCCTTCTGGCTATCCACAGCAAATGTAGGGAAATATATTGCCTCGGAAGAGCTTCGAAGCATGTCATCCTCTTGGCCTACGGCTCAAACACGATATCACTAGTGCACGAATGTCAGCCATGTTTTCTTGCTGGGCAAAGCTACGATTTGTGCGTACGCACATAGTGCCACAGCATGCAATCCTTTGCACTCACATTCTGAAGCCCTCTTCCCACTAGCCGGAGGCAGTTGCCACCTCTCCGAAAAGTTTCCGTGCTCTTCACCGCTCATACATACCACAACAGAATGCCCACACGAGACCATTCGTTGCTACTAGCATGTTAAATTCGGGCGAATCATGTCAACTTTCCCCGCAGCGCCTTGGAAGAGCGGTCCGACTCATCCACAAATTCAGGATCATCACCAATGCTCGAATCACTTTTCAGTGACCGCTTGCTGTGCGATCGGCAGGAGAGTTCAGACAGCCTCTCGGGTCGCGCCTGCTTCTGCACGTGCTTTCGGACCGTGTCATCAATTCGACGAATATGGCTTTCTCGCTTCTCGAGGTGCGTCCTCTCTTCTTGTGAATTGTTGTCAATTTCCCAGTCGTCCAAGAAACATGTTTCCTGCATCGACAAAACACCTTCTTGGTTTACATCCAAGGCTGCAAACAACTGACGTGCATTGCCTACGTAACCATAGATGCGACAGTTGCCACGAAATTCTTGGAATGTAAGGCTGTTGGATGCATCGTGGTCGAATACACTGAATGCCGCTCTCACTGTGCCAAACTCCCGCCACGCCCAGCTCTTGAAGTTGGAAAGGGTAGTGCTTGCCTCTGAGTCCAATTCATTCAGCGTGATGTACCCAGAAAGGTCCTGATCAAACGCCCGCCAGGCACCAGCAACGTCACCATGGTATCGAATCCTGTGGCATGCAGCCTGGAACTCAGACCAGCTGCAGCGGTTACTGCCGTCTTTGTCAAGAAGCTGCCTCCACGCCTTGAGAAAATGCCCACCGTACTTCTGTCCAATGAGATCTCGGATTTCTTCTCTGGCGGCATGATTTGCTTCTACAACGAAGTACAGATGAGGATGCCATTTCTCCAAAAACCTGAAATCGGACTCCTCGATCATTTTGGAGCCAGACTTGTCTAAATGTTGGAAGAGCTGTTTGGTATGGCCAGACCAGCCCCACTCAAGCAAGGACTTCTCAAACTGCTTGTAGCTTACTTTCTTCCCAGAGTCCGAATCCAGTGATGCAAAGCCTTGCGTGACTGATCCAAAACGACTTTCCAGGAACGCCTTGAAGCGCGCGAGTGCCTCAGCACTGGGGGGATCCAGCTCTTCCAATGCTGCAAACCCACTTTCATCTTTGTCCAAGACGTGCCAAAGATCGCGCGCTTCATGTGAGAAGCCGATTAGAGCGCAGGCCTTCAGGAACGGAGTCTTTGGGATGGACATAACGTCGTTGCTGCACAAGACCACTCGCCATGCCCGAACAAGGTTCCCATGCTTCTTCACCAGGTATTCCTTGAAGCGGTTCATGGTCTGCTCCTGGGCTTCACGTGCTTGCTGCTTGCGGAGCGAATGGATTGCACGGCTCTTTGCTTCCATCTTCCGCTGAATGCGGTGGAACTCTGCCTCCAACCACCTGAAGCTTTCGCGGCCCAGCTTGCCTCACACAGCTCGGGCTTGTACTATAGAATCTATAAACCCAAATCAACCCAAAGTGCCTGATGCATCGCAGTCTAGGCCGCTGAAGAGAAGCTTCTCCTGACCATGCTGCCATCCCATCTCCTTGATGCGCTTCTGGAACTGCTCTTCCTGAGGCTCCGGAAATGGCTTGGCACCCCAACTCAGAATGGTTTAGCCTAGCCAAGCTTCCGTGATGGCGGAGTGGCGTGCTTTGATGGTCAGCCGGGTTTTGAGGCGCTCCTCGTTGGTGTTCCCAAGCCGCGTCAGGAGCTCTTCGACGGATCGAAAGGTCTTCATGCACCAGAGACGGAAGCTGCTCCACAGCACCTCAGCTTTCGATCGACCGATGGAAAATGCCACCGCCTTATGCAGGAAGGCTGCAGCTTGGGCCGGATCGATTTCATACATGGTGATCTCCTCGGATGGCTGCCAGTCTCGATTGGCAATGGTCGGTTAAGGTCGGTTACAATACACGTTTCCGCTGAGCATCACCGGAGCGATCATCATCAAGCTCGCTGAAAAGCTTTTGTATATTCCCCGGGTACTGATACTTGCGCAACACCTCGCTGAACTCAATCTTGTTGATGCGCTGGACCTACGAATAGGGTAGCTGTTGAAACAACACGTGTGAGCAATACCCGTCAAGCTGAGCTTGAGACGTTGTCTACATCCAGAACTGTGGTCCATGCCTGCAGTGCAGCTGCGCTCACACACTCTGGCACGGCTCGAACGACTGCGACGAGTTACGGACAGGACCAAACGACGACAGACTGCGGCAACCACTGCGGCAACCACACAAAATGACATGGGCTCGGAATTCTGGCCCCGGACACCGGCTGTCGCGGGAGACCTAAAAGAATCCTTACGTGTAGCGTGGCTCCGCTAGCATGCAAAACCACCTTGTCGCTCTGATTCCCAGTTCGGCGTTGGATAGTGCGGATGATCCAAGAACTGGAGCATGCTTGTTGCAAAATTTCATCAGACAAGGCCCAATGCACAGCGAGTATGCGTTTACGTCGTATGACTTGGCTGGTACACACGGGTGATCAGCCCTGGCTTCCCATTCGATAGTTGTGTTAGGCACGGTCTGGTCTCCGATGCTGTGACCCCCCTCCATCTGTTGCTAAGATCATACAGCATTGACCGAAGTCAGTAGTGGAACATTTTCAGTTCCGCACACACACACACACAGAGACAGGGACTTGAACGGCACAGACACACACCGACACACACGCCACTCCTCGTAAAGTACCAGCCCATGCGATGACAATATTCCTGTATCATGCGAGCCTTCAGAGTGGAACCAAATTTTTGCTCCAAGAACCGCTGAAGACGTCGCTGAGCTTTGGCCTGGCAATTCACTCAAAGCCATCACTGTTCAGACCGAAGTTCGACGGCCGTTGCCGTACAACTTTACGCTGTCTTCCGCTCGGCCTCATCCTCTTGGGCCATGTCTGCCCATGGCTTTGATGGGCACAACGATGCTGCCACTACCGAAGCTCCAATCTGTTTTCATGCCTGCTGCCTGCTGCCAACAATGGGGATCCAACAATCTAAGCCTGTCCATCATGTTTACACTCGAAGGGTAGGACGGACGGCTGCTGTAGACGAAACAACCGAAAGGTGGCAAAGTTGACCACAGGACTATCGAAAACAGCTGCAAGACCACACCCACACGCAAAAACGTAAAGGACGATGATCTCGTGAACCCATCGTCCAGGTGAAATACGAGAGTAGAGGCTGCGATTATAGCCGAACTTGAAACTGATGTTTTGCCGTACAGCAGATAGATAATGCCGAGTTACGGTACAAGCATACTGGTGAGAATCAATCATCACATCATGAGGAACCTTGTTGAGTGCCCTGCCACTTTTGAAGATGGGGCTGAGTCTTCTTCTGATATTGGCACACCAGGTGATGCGCAAAAATCGTCAGCTCTGTCAAATCCTGAGATGCCCGACGCAGAAAATTGAAAGAAAAGCTGTTGTGAAGCAATTTGTTCTCAAAAATAATTTGTTCAAGCAATCCGCGATGTTACATCAAGGCCCAGGCTGCCTGATCATTCGTAGCCTCGGGCATTGGTAACTCGGAATCTTGCGGTGAAACTCACAGAACAGTGTGAAGCCGCAGCCAGACAGTTTCTTCATCCTCTGTTGCCTCAAGACCTTCGTGTCAACAGCAAGAAAGCATCAAGACTGTACCGAGCCTTGAGAAAAGTTAATCAAGCATACAGGCAGAAACTCTAGCCTGTTAGAAGTTTGTGTCGAGGTTCTGGGGATGTCCAATTCAAAGTCACAGGCTGGAAGTAATACAAGAGAGATCCACAGCCTTCGCTCAAACTGTGATGCCAGGTGACATACAGGAAAGGGAACAAGGTATCCAGGACGGTCAGGAAACGATCGCCCAGCACTTCTACCTCGGGGGAGAGCTCTGACTGAAGCCGTCAGAACCTGGGAGCTGAGTCCGGGGCCATCCTTCGGCAAAGGAACAAGGCAGCTCGCCAAAGCCCAATCTGCCAATCGACACGCAGATCCGGTATCAACAAGGCCATTCACAAGACAGCATCGCCTCACGATTCAACTGGTTGACAAACTTCTCCAGAATGCGGGCTACAATCATCAAGACCTGCTCCCAAGCCTCACTGGCACAGCCGGCGCATCAGGATGCATGCTCCACACACACACGGTCCACGGTCTGCAACAAGCCCCGGACAGTGGCTGTGCTTGCATGCCTTCGATGAGATATTTTTGAGCAGCGATCCCCATCTTCTCTTGAAGACTTCGTGCGTCCAGGAGACGAAACGTTGAAAGCTTTGCTGACTGTGGCAATGGCCTGCAGAGCCAGGAGCCATGGAAAGCAAGACTTTGCACAAAGCCACGTTCCCCCCACCGATCCGCGCCGCCCCAGCAGTCCCGCACTGCCCGCACCTCAATGCTTCGTCCAGCCCAGCCTCCAGCAAAAACCCCAAATATCTCTTTCCCCAGACGCTTCAAAGGTGGAAGGCAAGCAAAGCAACGGACCAGCGCAGCCGGCTATATCGTTTCCTCACAGCGAGACAGTAGAATCAGTAGAATGTCTGCTGAAAAAGAGGAGAATGCTGAGGCCTGTGCCAGCTCGTGATGCCGCTGCATCAGTTACAATCTCCGACAAGTTTTGTGCAGGGCCTAGAGCCAAGCAGCTGCTCCAAAACTCCTCCAGCGAACTTCGGGACTTGCCTTTCAGCAGCATCTCCAGCTTTGCCGGGAGCCTCAGCCGTTCAGCGAGCCTGTACAACTCACGCAGGATCACGCCTTATGGAAGGACTGTACTGCGAAACTACGCCCCTTCTGCAGCCAGCATACACAGGAAGGCTTGAAGAAAGATCGGAAGTGAGGAACACCGCAACCCAAGCTGCAGGGAATCGCGGAAACGGGTGTTGGAAGTCCAGAGGTAGAATGACCACCGAGAAGGACCGGACATGTCCGAACTGCATAGCCATCCCCCCGCCCAGGCATGAATTCCCACCCTCTGCACGCTGTAATGTCCACAGACAGCTCGCTTGATCCGAAGAACCCGTAAGCAGAGTCGCCAGTCCTCCCGCAGGCGACTTAATTGGCCCAAATATGTGAAGCAACAGTCCGGAACTCAAAGAAAAGAAGGGTCCATGGATGATGTGGCACGGCTTCTTGCAATGGAGTTGCCACGGTTGTGAACTCGCTCCCTCTTGACTGTCCATGCCACGGACCGTCTGAGGCCAAGGACTCTTCTGGTCTGCTCGCAGCTGCGAGGCATGCCAGTGCCTCGAAGAGGTTGGCCTTTCATGACTGAGAAGGCCCAATACTTCCCAGTTCACACGGCATGAACGCACTGCAGGGCCTTTCCCTGTCTGCTACACAGTTACCCAGCCACCATGGATTCCATGTACAATCTGTGCTGGTTTGCGGTTGTTGCAATGTCGCATTCTTTTGCCGCAATTTCACAAAGTACGACTCAGCAGCACAAGCTCGCTTGAGCCTGGTCGTCCGCCTTAAGCGCACCCTTGACAGCGACTTTGGTCAGCGACACTTCCGCCTGGCTTGGCTGCTACGAAGCAACATAGACCCTTGTTTTCTAGTTGGCAGAGTGATCCAGACAGGATCGTTGAATGACCTTCCCTTCAACACGTTACAAAGGCCGTGTATTGCAGTTGCAGCCTGTACAGGAAGGAGTGCTGAAGGAACATACCTGCAGCACACTTCTCTCCTGACTGCCTCTGAGCCTGCCTGCTGCAAGAAAACAGCAAATTTGAACCGTCCGCGTCGTGTCGCACTGTACAATGAGGAGATCCTGCAACACACACAACTGTGCATCGATGCTGCTGCACTTCCCGCAGTGTTTCAGGAGCCCTGTCCCGCAAGGCTTCGTGGATCTGTACCACAAGGGCTGCAGCCTGGACTCTGACCTTAGCAGCTATTTTCCTGAAACATGCTCCCCAAAGGAGGCAGAATGCATCTCCTGGGGCACCATGCCAACTTCACAAAGCGTCCGAACATGAAGCAAGCGCGAGCCGCCTGTGAGCCATGCATCGCACCGTGCGACAGCGGCTAAATGAGGCTTATGCATTCTGCGGTCTTCTGCCAAGTGACGAGATGAGGATTGTTGGAACGGACACCTGGTGACTGCGAGCCAAAAACCACCGAAGCTCTAGCCCGACTCGGCCTCGGGGACTCAGCAGGGCTTGTAGCACCTTCTGCCCATACCTGCACACATCTAAACTTATCTAAACCCGTCAGCAGGCGGTTCATTGTGCGTAAAGCCAGTGTCAACTGGACAAACACACACTGCACTCGACCCGATGTTGATCCGACGGTCGGCGACGAAACAGGCTGGAATGACTAGCCGGTGCCAGCCGAGTGGCGGCGAATCGCCGGTGGCGAGTGTTACACAACGCACGCTGCACTCGAATCGGCTTTGATGATCACTCAGACGGTTCCTTTTCGATCTTTTAGTCACAGTCGTTTGGATAACGTGCTGAATCACGCCGCTCGGCGACCAAACAGGCTGCATGGAAGCCCATTCTGCACCCGCGGCGCAGCGGTGGAAGCTCTGCGCCTCGAAAAGGAGCTTGTCGGCAGCCTCCGTGGTGGCGTAAACTCGATGTCGCTGACGGCCTGGACAAAGATCCTCATCACCTTGTCGACGGGCTGGTCACACGGACCCAACCCTCTCGCCGCGCTCTGGTGAAGTCGCGGGACACCACGTCGTTTTTTCAATCATTCCATCGGATCGGCCAAGAAGATGGACGGCGTGCAAAGCCGCGGAGGCGGCGTGCTGGCGATCTGGACACTCGCATGAAACAAAAACTGACGATGGGCCTTAGCTGAGCCTGCGCAATTGAAAACAGCCAGGACCAGAGGAAAGCTAGAGCAAACGTTTGCCAACAAACGCAAGACACGGCCAGAAGCTCGAGAATTGAGGCAAGCGAGATCAAGCGAGCTGTCGACGACGCGAGAAGACCGCCGCAAGTGTTTTGCACCAACATACCATCTGAAACGCAATGGCGATTTTGCGATCACCTCTGTTTAGGAGCCACAGGCGACTGCGACGAAGATTTCGTCTCTCTGCATTTACGTTAGTGAAATATCAGAAGGCGCCAGCAGTGCCAGCTTGAAGCTGCCTAGTTGTACAGGACGGACAAGTATCATGTGTACATGAAGAACACTATTTGAACAAGTGCTCGTCTGCAAACTATCCGGAATGACCTCTGCTGTGACAACGGCACCTAGCGACTTACTTCTCAATTGAAAACGAAGCCAAAGGCATGCGGCACAGCGGTACAGAAATGGCGAACCTTGGGAACAGCTCCTGGTGTAATGCAAACAGCTTGCCATACTTCACCTGAGCTTGAGCGCTTGATTTTCCTGCACGACTGAAATGAGATACCAGGTTCGCAGCATACACCTCCATCAGTGCAAGCTGAACTGCCCAGTGATCGGCATTGACCTCAGGCGGCAGGACCCGCGCGCACTGCATTAGATCAAGATTGGGTACTGGGCAGCAGGCTAATGCCTCACATTCGATAAGCTGCACGAAACAGCCAGCCAGCGGGCCTTTGGCCTGCAAACGCGCAATTAAGGCATCCCAGTTGTTCGGGATCCGTGCTGGCAGCTTCATATTTTTCCCCATCGCCGGCAAGTTGAAGGGGCAAGTTCAGTAGCACAAAGCGAAGCTTCTGGACCGCCTGAGCTTTTTCAAGGAGCAAGGCTGGGCAGGACAGCACGACAGCTTGCGCAAGCCAAGCCCTTGCGGAGGGGGCGGCACCTCTTGGAGGGTAGAAGCTTTGCTCCACCAGGCTCAGCTCCATGACGAGGCCAACCTCCTCGGATCAAATTGACCCGTGTGCTTCGGCTTCTCTCCACAAACCCCATGCCTCGTCATCGCTTGACAGGGGGGCCATGGACTGCCAGAGTGCCCAGCATGCCTCGCAATACCTAGGCCACGCAAAGAGGAGTGAGCCATGAAGAATCTCCAGCAGTTCCTGCAGCCCAGATGCCACCTCCTATCGTGCGAAGCTCCTTCTGATCGGAAAGAGGCACATTGTAGACAAAGCTCTTGGCCGTCCCCCACCTCCTGGCGAATTTCAAGCAAGCACTCACCCTGTCGCCACTGACAGGGGAGGCACCTTGAGCACACGCGATGCATCTTTAGCTTCCATGAAGGGAACCAAGAAAAGCACCTCAGAGAGAGAGGCCCACACCACATTCCAAAAGAGAGCGGCTCCGGGCTCTGAGGGCTCTGAGGGCTCTGAGGGCCCTGGCGAGGGACCGTATGGGCTCAGTCGCAAATGGCAGATGATGGCCACCAGGATGGCGAACGAGAACCTCGGTCTTAGCACAAACAGAACGTCACCACTACACCCCACTTGTGAAACAATGAAGCACTCACTGCTTGCTTGATTCGGATTGCTGGTCTTGCCAAGCATGAACATCCACGGCACAAACTCAGGCACGAACAGGATCTGCAAACAGGCTTGCCATTTCCAGATTCATTCTCACAGGAGTTACCTTATCAGCTTCTCCCATTATGTGCAACGTCGGAAGGCGGAATGACTTCTGCTCCGGAATGTCAACGCTCTTCCATCGCCGCCAGCGCAAAACGGCTGTGTGAGACTCCCCTGGACGCTCCTGCCGGTCTAGCAACTCGATAAGCTGCTTCAGATCTGGAGTCGTGGCCAGATAACCACAAACCACAATGGCAAACCGGAACATGCCGGGGAAGTGCCCCACCAGCATCTCTGCAGCCAGACCGCCAGCAACAGCAGCGCCCTGGCTGTATCCCATTACTCCATCAAACGGTCCATCCCTGTGGAATACCTCATGCAAGTATGCTAGCAGCTTTGTCCAGCTACCCTCTCTTTTGATTGACCACCAGGACAAACGTCGATGGATGCCTTCTGCTGAAAATGGAGGAAGCTGCACCGGCCCGTCTATGTAATGTAGCCACACATTGAAGAAAGAGAGCAGCTTCTGCAGTCGCTTGTCCCTGTGCTGCTGCCAAGAGCCATTGCTCGAGTAGCCATGGAAAACGAGAATGCGCATCCCACGCTCTCTCGGAGCCCGACAGCCACGTTCACCGCCCCTCTGTTTGCCGTCAATACAGCAGTCTACCTGGTTGTGGATGAATTTGTTGATTTGGTCGGAATGGATGCCGGTATCTTGCAGAGCATGGAACCACTTTTCATGACTGTCATGGATGTGAAAGATGTGGACGTTGTTGTCTTTGGTGGCATGGATACACTGGTACCCCATGTAACACAGACGTTCTTTGCGTGGTCGGGGGGTACCGTGTGGAAATGCTCGTGGCAGCACGGGGCTTTGGGCAAATAGCGGGGTTGGGGAAAGGCTAAAATTCTGTTAACCGTCCTGTCGCACGTTCTGTGCACCTGAGACGATGATGCGAAGAGGCCTGCAAGTGCTGCTCCAGCTGCCTCACTGTCTCTCCTGCCTCCTGCCAGCTGCACCACACTCACACAAGCTCAAAACAGCATAAACGTTCTTCCTTGAAGAGGTAGAGGACTGCATCCACCTGAGATGGAAGTTAGCGGAGTTAGCGCCGAGGCCCCACGAAGGCGATACTGCAAGCGATGCCAAGCGGCTTCCATGGGCTGCACGCCCGAAAGATTCGTGGTGAGCTGAGCAACCGATGCTTGCACGAACTGGAAGCCAAGCCTCGAGAAAACGGCGAAGCAGCCCGCAGGCCCAGCGTGCTCCGTTCGCCCTCCGAGACCAGGGCTGCTCATCGACCAAGAAGATGCGCCTGAGAATGGCCGCTCTATGCACGTCCACGAAATGACAAGACGGGTCTTTCAAGGTCAAAGCTTGTAGATCTTCGTCAGGCTTCGTCGAAACTCGATGAATGCAACATGCTGCCTCAGTTCTGCATTGCATCTCGATACGACTTGTCCTGCAGCACGAAATCTGAAGTGCACTGAGTCTCAACTCTTCATCCTCAAAGTTCGGGTCGTTGTGCTGAAACCTGCAAGCTACGACGCACTTGGCCGGCCGTTTGAAACAGCGACAACATCACCACCGAAGATGCGGCCCAAGCTGTGTGGCCATGTCTGATGTTGGTTGCAATGAGCTTCCTCCTAGCCCTTGTTACCCCAGTTTCCCTACTTGAGGATGTCGTCTCGAATTCTGCCTGTGGCCGTTCGGCCCATGTGCAGCGAGCAGGCAACCCGAGGAGGTTGAGCCGGCTGTAGTGCGTTTGACAGGTTTCCTCTGGCCTCAGTGCATGTGTGAACCCTCGCTTAGCACCAGACCAAGGTGGATAGGAAGTTCTTTGAATGATCAGCCTGTCACGATGCAAGTAACCCTGTATCAATCACACACTTCAACAAAAAACGCAGGGAACGAGCAAGCTCGGCTGCAGCGTCTGCATCAAGATGGGTCTGACCTGCGAGCAGAAAAATACCTACAGACCAGCACCAGACGAAGATGTTGAACCAGTGATGGATCATAGGGAATCCTGCTTGAACAAGACAACGACCCTGTACTAAATAGCGTCACGCGCCTGCTCCAGTGAAACAGAGTGACAAGGAGCCATCTCCATATCACCCTTCTGACCGTCTGCAACGAAACTTTTAACCTCACGTGCTGCTCTTGTGTTCCTCATGCAAACCAGCCAGGCAATCAGGTGGCCCGGCCTTAACAAAGAACTCGGTCAAGAAGGGCTCGACGCACACGGCTACTTGATGCCTGGATGTGCATGCTGGAAGAATTTGCTGAGGCACCGGATGCACAGATGCGCTGAGCGTGGCACTCCTTGTGGGCAAAGAACCAGAAAACTAGTGGCATCAGTGCATTGGTGGATTCCCATGCAACCTCGATCAGTCTTTCGATTGCCGACGGCAGATGGCAAGCCGCACTTTGACCCGAAGCACCTGGGCCAACCTCGCGCTGTCAGCATCGCTTTGAACACGAAGGTCAACGTAGGCCTCCAAGGTCACCTTCACAGAGCAAACTGGCTCAAGTCAGAGAGCTGGGCTGGCACACGGCCTCTCCGACAGAGTTTATCATGTCCGCCTGCTTGACGAGGAGCCTCGAAAGACTTTGTGTGAGGTTTCGAAGGGATTAGGTGATTAGGATTGGAACATCTCCTCTTCTAGGCTGCCAAGCTGATGGTCTGAACCATCTCGATGGACACATGCCTCGAGACCTGCACGCGAAGAAGTAACAGCACCGCACCGCAGCCTGATGATGAAAGGGGCCAAGAAGAGCACGCGCAAAGATTTGCAACTCGCTGAGCATTTGCACCTGCACGCATAAACTTGAGAGGTAACGAGTGGTCAACGATACGTGGAGAACATCCGATAGAATGTTTTGGGTTCGTCAGTGGCAGCATCAATGCGAAGTTGTGATTGTTGTGTTCGTGGTGGCATAGAGGCACTCTTTGCTCTGCCAAAGCCTCTTGGAGCACCAGACAAGACAAACATGCCGATGTTTAAGTGCTCATACGAGTGAGCAGGCGACCATCATCGTCGGGGTGTCACACATCAGATAAACATCTCAACGACCCCCTACAGTCGGCTACCAAATATTTGGTCCGCTAAAGTCAAATTGTCCGGTGTCATAGGTTCCCTGTGACGACTAAAGTCTTTTGTAGGGGTCTGCAATTGAATACATCATTGACCTTCTGTGACCACTAAAGTCCGGTGCCTATTTCTTCGTGGTTGATAAAAACGTGGGTTTCAATTAAATCCCTACCATGACCACCAAAGTCCGGGGAAATGTGGGCCAGCACATGACCAGCATTTGTTGGTCACAGGGCGGCCCCAAAACGGGGTTTAACCGGACGGGGGTAACCAGCTCTTGTATATTAATACATGCCTGCTGCTGTTTGGTGCTCAGTTCGTGTCGAAACAAAACGGCCCGTATGACCAGCATTGGCTACGGTTCCCAGCACTATCGACCGTGACTTGCACAGGGCCTATGAAAATGACGTCATTCCCACAGACGGACGAATTTTGCAAATTTCGCTTGAGGTTCAAGATGAGATCGTGGCCATCAGACGGGCTTCTGCAGTTAGGTTGGAATCTGCAGCGCACACTCCCTAGAATTTTCGTGTTGATACGATCGATTGCAGTCGCCAGTTTTGTCAACCTCTGGCTGGTTCGACGGACAACATCAATCTTCAGGGTTTTGCTGGCCTTCTTGCTGGCTGGCATCTTCTTGCTGACGATTGCAGCCAGGCATTCACAAGCCTATGACAGGGACACAAAGCATCTTCAAATCTTCACCCAACATTCCAGATCTTTCTCCAACACTGACAAACAAGAACTTACTGCCTCACCAGCACTATCCGAAGCTTCTGCAATCACGTTGCAAACTGCACCTGGATCAGCAAGAGGCTTCGCAGGCAAAACACGGGATGACGATCTTCTGTCTCAAGCTTCGGCTTAAGAACTTGTCGTTGGCCACCGTGAGGATTTCAATCTCAGCGGTCGCAGGACATGCGTTTAAGGCTCGAGACCCTCGTCAAGTGAGATACTGGTGGAGTTCTGCCGGACTTCCAGGCGATGCACAACACATCTTGGCAAGAACGCTGAAAGTGTGAAGCGGGCACAGGCTTCGGCATGATGGAAAGATCTTCCTCGTATTTTTGTTATCCCACAGGTTTGGGTTGCACCTCCGCATCCCATGGCTCAAACATTCACCTTAATCATTCCACTCCGGAAAGGTCCTTCCGGGTGCTATTGAGAAAAAAAACTTCACACGCTGGAACGAACGAGGAGGCGGCCCACACCACATAGAGAGCTGTCACTTTCCTGAATGAAAAACATGGCAACACGGAGGGGTCGATGAACTCTTGCTAAATGCTCTCGGCCAATGATGGTGCAGCCGTGATTCAAACAGTCCCGCACCATGTGTGGTGCCTCGGAGCTTGCACAGATATTATTGATCAGAACCTGGCATGAGTTCATCATGGCTGGGCGACAGGCAGCACCCTTCAACGTGGTCAAGATCCTGACGCAATTCTCGTCTGTCTCCAGCAGTGGGCATGCGAAATCATTGGTGCAATCCTGCAGGAACCAGATAAACTTGTCTGACGGTTCATTTCCTAGAACATTTGCGGATTGCAAGTCATCAACTCCTGCAGAAACCTTGTCTCCAACATCATCTGCTTTCTTGTCTCGAAGTGTTTGCTGCGGTCGGGGCCAAGAGCCTGCAAGGCATCCTTGCTGTAATGCAACAGGAGGGTTCGTGTACGGCTGAAGGACACAGAAGCAAAGACCACAAGACGCACACAGCAGTCGGATGGCATCTGTTTGAAGCAGTCCCGAATCGGACAAATACCCAATTCATAATGGCATCGGAGAGCGAGCTGGAGAGTTGTGTAAGCTCAATGCTTTGCAGTTAATCTTGTGCTTCCTCCAGTTTCTTTGTCACATCATCTTGCTTGGAGCAGACTGTCTTCACATCATCTTGAAGTGTCGACACAGCCAGCAATACTTGAGGGGTTGCATTACCAACAAGCTGAAAATAAATGATGATTCGGTCAGCAGGCAACATGCTGTAGCAGCGATTGCTTTGACAGTGCCTGCCATCATCATCATTGTGGACAAGAAGAAGCTGAGGGAACGACTTGTACCAGCACTCGACCAGCGACACTACATCGCCTAAACAGAGCAAGCATTATGCAAGACCAAACACAGCATGTGGATCTCTGCACATATCTACATTCAAGACACGCTCACGCATCGCGTGTTTGATCTGATGACCTTTGTCAAAGCACACTGAGAGTTCTGGTCGATGAACTACAGGCACTGACTTAGATTGGATCTAGTGGCCACGCTGCCGATCCTGCAGTGTCGCACGGAGCCGACAAGGGAGATCTTGACAAATGGTCCTCGTTGCTTCGGGCGACTTCGTCGTTGACAACCTCTTGGTCAAAGATGGCAAGCACCTCGGTTTGCGATATCGTAGAAGGCGACGCCCAATGCCTTCCTTCTCTGCTCTCGGGGGCTGGCTCGCAAAAAGAAGTCTACCAACGGAAGCCTCAAGGCAAAGGCATCTGACAGCTAGAATGCGGATCTTGAGATAAGCGCAGGGCCCTAAGTCCATCAGGCCAATCAAATCCTGTCATCAGAGTCGCTTTGGTTCAAGTCAATCAAGACTCTCCTAAGTGTGCTTGTTGGTATCTGTCATTCACCAGTCAGCAGGCTACACTGCGGCTACACAAAGTCTCTTGGCGACGACAAGATGTTCAAGCACTGTCGGCTTCACAGCATGTCATAACATGCAACAGAGAGAGACACGAGTCAAGCAGGTGTCACGTTGCCACGAAGTCTACGAACAACTTCTTACCCGCCGCCGACTTTGCCAGTGCATACTAACCACATCCTCACCGACTGTCTTTTTTGCTCAAGGCTCCTGCAAAATTTGTTTGGTCGGTTGCCCCAGTCAGCCATGCCAAAGAACTTGCGACTCAGGGCCCAGAGCTAGCTGGTTCCTCCGACATCCATGGCCCTAACACCGCAGTGGCCACTTCTCTGGAAGTGAAAGACTTGGGCAGCATCTAAACTCCCCCAATCCCCGCTGTCATGGACTTCGCTCCTGCCATGCGGCGGGCCACTGTGCCGGATAATCGAGCTTGATGAGACCTGCCTGGCGTGCCACATTCGCATGAAACAAGGTGCTTAACAGAGACGTGTGCTAAGCGTTCCACATACACAAGTGCGACTTTGTTCTTGACCACGACCTCCTAGGGCAGCTTTGACAGGCATGTTCGTAGCTGCAGTCTTTCGTGTCTTGGACCTCTTGTTTCTTGCCGGCCACCTCTCTCAGCCAAGAAAGCCTTGGCCGCTCGCAAAGCGAAGTGATGAAAACCCGAAGGATCACTGGAAACTTCTAGTGGGCTGCTAGCTGCCGGGGAGCACTTTGCCTCGAAGTTCTACTCTGGCCGCTGGCGAGATCGACCTCGTTCAGCCGGAGGCAGCACAACATCCCATCTCCCACCTAGCAATGCCTAGCAAGCCTTGGGCTTTGACGACAGCGCCTGCAGAATGACCTGAGGTTGCTTCGTGTCCCGGGAGCTTTCACATACAACTTGCCTAAGCGCCTAAGCTTCCAGCCTGAAGGCACCAGAACTTGACCTGTACAAGATTGATAGCGTCCATAGCTACCAGCCACGAGGCAAGCACAACTCTCACCTCTAACACCTCGGTCTGCACAAGCCGCTCCCAGCAGAGGATCCAACCTTACAAATGAAATCAAAACCAAATGCGATGCAAGATGATGCAGTACAGGTTAGAGGTTTGGTGAAGTAGTGTTGAGAGCTTGGTGAAAGAGAAATTGGCAGCAGTGTCAAGACGCACAAGACAGTGCATATAAGAACTGCAATTGCTCCACCGGGTTTGATCGCGACATGTCGTCCCTTGCAGTCATGGAAAAACGAGCTAAACAAAGTCAGCAGTGGTGTACCGTCATCGTGGCCCGGCCACCACACATGAAAAGTCATGTCATGTTAACGTCCGTCGAAAGGTCAGGCGATCCTACAATGAGAAACACCCGCTCATGGTGCTCTTGGGTTACAACACAACCTCTCCCTGTCTAGAACTCGAGTGTGTCAGCCGGAAGGAATGAGGCCTTGCTCAAACCCAGAAATAGCATGCCGCTTCAGCCTCCAAGCAATGCATGCTGCAGAAGTTGCCATATTGCGCTTGACAGTGAACATAGGTGGGAAGTTGCCAACATTCCACACGACCACCGGGGCAGGTACAGTCTGGATGCGCCTCCAAAGGTATTTCACTCGCGCGTGGGTGGTCGGCTCTGTGCACGCGCCTTAATGCCATCGCAGTATCTGGTGGCCTCCTCCCGGACCTTCCACAGTCACGGTTTGCTACACGAGGCCGCTATCAACGTTCGAGGCCCTGGCCGCAGGAGTGATGGACCTGAGCAACATTGCAGAGGTGAGATGCAATGGCGAAGCAAGAACAACCCAGGTGCCAGGGCCGGCGCGGATCCTGCGCAAAGATTACTCTGATAGCTCGTTCAAGGTCCTGACAAAAGCTACACAATTTGCTGGGAACCTGCCTGAACCTGCACCTGAATTCAACCACTGAAACACTTGGGCTGTGGCATCCATGCCCTGTCCAATGTGCCATTGGAGCTATCAGGCCAAAAAACTGCAGCTACACGCAACAAACGTCAGGCTCTCAATGGGCACCGAAATGCAGCACGATGGGATAACTCAGTCTGCGATACAGAGGCGCAACGTCGAAGATATGGGAAACATCAAGAGCGAGCCACGAAGTCAATGTTGTCGATATCTTGTAGAAAACGAAAACTGTCAAAAAGCCAAGAAGTCGCAACACTAAAGAAAAGCAACACAGACCCTCTGATAAAGAAGATGCTAAACAATCTGTGCTTTTAGTCAAGCGACATGCTCTCAAAGGACAGATTCTGGAGGTCTGTCATTTTTCCAGCCGAAGCCAAACCAGAAGGCGCTGCCAGTAGTGAGTGCCATGCAATGCTTGGCATTTCACGGCGTCCCAATGGCACCCTAACGGCACCCTGACAGTCTTACAGAGATGGACACGGACTTGCTCATCCGATCTCCATGTCACCTGAAGCCATCTCCTGCAGGAAAGGCCGTGCACCCGGGCAACGCTCACGAGAAACGTATGAAGTGTCCCGAAAGCGAAAGCCGGGTGAGATGATGAGCCGGATGGAGTCTACACAGCTTCCGACCACAGCAGGAGCAGGGGCAGGAGATTGATTTCCGGCTTGTTTGTCCTGCCTCATTCGCACAATCGTCTGACTATCGCTCCATTCACCACCACGGCTGGCCCTTCCCTGCTTGGAGCACTGTTCCAACAGCAACGGCTTCGTTCTGAGGCAACGCCACCACACAGGTTACATCTGGGCATCCAAATGCAAGACTGCCAAGCTGCACGAGACAGAGACGGAATCTTTCATCGCAGTCTCCTCCTGTTTGGCCGCCAGTTCTCTCCGAATCTCTGGGCCAACCTCATACGACATCTCGCCAGAGCGGCTACGAGACAACTGTTGCGTTGAGGACGCTGCAGACTCATGAAGATGGACTCGAAGTAGCTCCTCAGAAACTACACTCGCATACCACAAGCAGCATCACTCACACATTTCCGAAGGGATGCAGCACTAAACTACTGCCAAACTAACAAGCCAACATTGAAATCGTTGGCTGTGGGCGGACCTTTTATTTAAGGTGTGGATCACCTGTGTTATGTAAAAGGTGTGGTTCGGTCTGCTTTTGCTAGCGGAGAACTCGGAAGCCAATCGAGAGATACCCCTGGCAAGGTCCTATTTCCTGGCCAAGGTTGAAAAGAATTCTATCTTCCAGCGTTCTGCTTTGTGGCAAGCTTGGAACATTAACACTTGCAGGTTGCGTCAAACTGCAGAGCGGAATATGGCAAGTTGTAATTGCCCCTATGCTTGCCGCATTTGTCGACTATCTTGCCGCGAAAAGAAACCTTGCCAATTGTACTTCTCGAATGGCTTGCCGCAAAAAGTCACTGCCAAAGAAACTTCCCGCTAGCTGCGACGAAGCGCGAGCCTCCAAACTGCCATGCCCCTTATGGCTTGCCCCGGAAGACCCTTCGAAGTGGAGCCCCCCCACCATTGATCCTACAAGTAGCTGTAACAAGCAGCACACAGAACTCTGTAACTTTAAACGCCAGGATTTTTGTCGCAGAGAAGGACGTAGCCAAGCAGGACTGCAAAAAGCAAAAGCAAGATGAACCAAGCCGCAAATGGCAATACGAAAAGGAAACGTGAATGCAGACAGCGAACAGAAGGAATAACAGCAATCAGCTCAAGAACACGCAGCAATACGCGCGAAGCCATCGGCTACCAGCGAGAAGCTAGTTACAGCAGTAAAATTGCAAAGCCCAAAAACAGCAGAAGCAGAAGCGCCAACCAAAAGCAAGAAAACAAACCACCAGGCGGGCCACACTTGAGGCACACAGTTCTACGCCACAGAGATCCAGCACTCAACATCACTAAGGCAGCTTTGGAATTGTGGCTGTGCTTGGTGTGGCGAAACATCTTTCGGGCTTTTGGGCTACATCCAAACGGACAGCACCGCACCTTAACATCTATCTCTCTGGCCCAGGCAATGCACCGAAACAAATGCCTCATCGTGACACCGCTAGAACCACTAGAACGGGTCATCATTCGTGCATGCACGCATGGGTAAGAAGGGCATTCATGTTCTGGCTCCTTGATTCGTCTTTTCTGATCTGCAGAAAGATCAAATTTGTATCTCCTCAGGTCACAGTGCGCCATATGCAAAATGCGCTGCTGCCATTTTATGCTACCAAGAGTCTGCACAAAAATGAGCAATGCCCGATGCCAAACCTGATCTGCACGAAAACACACTCGCAGCAGACGGACGCATCAACTCAACACCCTGCCGAGAAGCCAAAGGCAATGTTTTGTCTTCACCGGCGAATGCACAGAAATGAGCCACCAAGCACTCGATCACCTTGAGTGGCAATGCATACCTGGACACAGCACCGAGAACATTGCGGATTCAGGGTTGAGATGTGAGCTTCGACCAAGCAGTTTGCCCACATGCAAGCACCAGCTGACTACGACAGGACTGTCAAGGTGACATGCAGAGCTCCTGGATTCACAGAAACGACACTTGTACCACTGGCTGATCTGTAAAGACCACACACCATCCGCAATGGAACACCGAAGAATCTGCGCCAGAGCTTCTAAATTGTTGAATCCATTCAGCCCGGGTACTTCTTGTTGAGCTGTGCAGCCAGCAGGATCGCTGTAGTCCCGTACCACGGTGTCATGGTCTCAGCTGTTTGCAAGAAATCTCATGCACAAACACGAACTTTCATCGAAACTGCAGTATCGAATGAGATGAGGTGCACATAGGCGAACGATGCTGGCGGCCACCTCGGACAATGATAAGTGTGAAAAAATCCTTGCAGCCTGACCCCCTGGAAATGCCAAGGCTCCATCGCTGAGGCCTTTACGTGCATGACAGGTACAGATGCCTTGGCCAGGACAGATCCCATGATGACGGCCTGTAAGGAGGAAAGTCAGTATGCATTCAACGGAATGCA